ATGTCGAGATGAAATAGGCTCATACAAATGTATTTGCCAACCAGGATGGACCGGTACTAACTGTGAAACGGACATTGGAAGTTGTTATTCAAAACCGTGCCAAAATGATGCCAAATGTATCAACCTCTTCCAAGACTATTTCTGCGTGTAAGTAACAAATATTTACACAGTGAATTGTAAAAAAATAATTGGAAAAATTACAGATGTCCATCGGGAACTGATGGCAAACAGTGTGAAACAGCTCCCGAACGATGTATCGGAAATCCTTGCATGCATGGAGGAAAATGTCAAGATTTTGGATCAGGACTTAACTGTTCTTGTTCTGATGGTTTCACTGGTATAGGATGTCAGTACGAATACGATGCTTGTCAAGCAAATGCATGCAAAAATGGAGCGACTTGTACTAACGATCCCTTTGGATTCAAGTGTGTTTGTGCTCCAGGATTCACAGGAAAATACTGTGAAGAAGATATCATCGATTGTAAAGAGAATTCGTGTCCTCCGAGTGCTACATGTATCGATCTCACAGACCGATTTTACTGTCAATGTCCATTCAATTTAACTGGTGAAGACTGCCGTAAAAGTAAGTGTTGTAAATTGTTGTAAATATTGTTTTAATCATTGTTTCAACAGCAATTTCCGTCGATTATGACTTGTACTTTAGCGACGCGACCCGAAGCTCGGCCTCTCAAGCCGTCCCATTCTACACAGGCTCTAAGTCAAGTCTTACAATTGCAATGTGGATTCAATTCACACAAAAAGACGAGAATGGAATTTTCTTCACGCTGTATAGCGTTTCGTATGTGGTTTTATACCACTGTTGAATCAAATTTTAACATACTTTTTTAGGTCTAAACACATTCCTAAAGACAGAAAACCGTTAATCCAAGCACATTCAAACGGTGTTCAAGTGTCACTTTTCCCAGACATTCAGGACGTTTATCTCAGTTATAGAGACTACACCACCATCAATGATGCCCAATGGCACCACATCGCTATCGTATGGGATGGTGAAAATGGTGGAGAACTTAAATTAATCACTGAAGGTTTGATTGCTAGCAAAGTTGAAGGTTACGGAAGCGGCCGCAAATTACCCGAATAGTACGCCATATATTAAAAGATTTTTTTTTTAATTAATTATGTTTTCCTAGTGCTTGGGTTACCTTAGGTAGACCCCAATCCGGAAACCCCAAAGCTTATACCGAATCCGGCTTCCAAGGCCATTTGACTAAGGTTCAAATCTGGGGACGCGCTTTAGACGTTACTAATGAAGTACAAAAACAAGTAAGAGACTGCCGAACAGAACCAGTTCTCTACAGAGGTCTAATCCTGACTTGGGCTGGTTATGAAGAGACTGTAGGAGGTGTAGAAAGAATAGTACCCTCTCACTGCGGCCAACGAATTTGTCCTCCGGGATACATCGGTACCAAGTGCCAGGAACTCCAAGTTGATAAAATTGCCCCAAAAGTTGAATACTGCCCTGGTGATTTATGGATCATTACAAAGAATGGATCGGCACTTGTCTCCTGGGATGAACCCCATTTTAGTGACAATGTTGGCGTAGTGAAAATTTTAGAAAAGAATGGTCACAGACCAGGTCAAACTTTACTTTGGGGTATTTATCAAATTTCGTACGTGGCGTTGGATGAAGCTGGAAATTCGGCTACTTGCAACTTCAAAGTGTCTGTCTTATGTAAGTTTTTGACATTTAAACTGAGCATTTGCAAAAAAATTATTATTAGCTGAGTTTTGTCCGGAATTGCCCGACCCTGTTGGAGGAGTTCAAGTTTGTAAGGATTGGGGCGCTGGTGGTCAGTTTAAAGTATGCGAAATTGCGTGCAATCAAGGGCTACGATTCTCGCAAGAAATTCCCAAATTCTACACTTGCGGAGCTGAGGGCTTTTGGAGACCAACAACCAACCCAAATCTTCCCATGGTTTACCCTGCTTGTTCTAGTAAGTGTTTTATTTGCTGTGAGAAATTTAAAGTGAAATAATTATGTTTAGCAACTAAACCGGCTCAACGCGTCTTCAAAATTTCGATGCTGTTTCCAAGTTCGGTACTTTGCAACGAGGCCGGACAAGGAGTACTAAGACAAAGGGTCCGAAATGCCGTCAACAGTTTGAACCGAGATTGGAATTTCTGTTCATTCTCGGTTGAAGGCACACGAGAGTGTAAGGAACTAAACATTGATGTGAAATGTGACCACAGAACTAGTCGTCAAGTCAGACAAGCGAACGATGAAGATGACGGTGGTACCTATGTTATTGATGCTAGCGTACCTGTCGAAAAGTAAGTACTGTGATAATTTTCAATGAATTTTTTAGCATCGTTCTTCGTAAAAAGACTGCATTTCAAAGCATGGTATTTTCATTTATCATCAAACCTTTTATTCCACTTATTCTATGTATGCATGCTGTTTTAGTTAGTAGTTAGTTGAATGTGTAGCCATAGCATGTCCTCTGTATTGTAGAAGTGCCCGCCAAGGACGGCAATCATCCAGCGACACCTACAACATAGAAATCTCCTTCCCAGCAGTAAAGTAAGCACTCTTATTTCATGCATGCACTTCGTAAATTCATTCATTTTCAACTCCTCCAAACTTAATCATAACCAAACTAATTTTGTAGCGACCCTGTTATACATTCCAACACCAACGAACGCTCAGCTGTCAAACACTTACTCGAAAAACTCATCTTGGAAGAAGACCAATTCGATGTTCGCGACATTCTTCCAAACACAGTCCCCGATCCATCATCTCTAATGCTTGAATCCGATTACGCTTGTCCAGTGGGACAAGTGGTAATGGCTCCAGACTGCGTCCAATGTGCCATTGGTTCTTACTATGATAAGAAAACAAAGACTTGCATTCCGTGTCCTCAAGGGACGTACCAAAGTGAAGCGGGACAATTGCAATGTATCCAATGTCCAGTCATTGCAGGACGTGCAGGAGTCACAGTGGGATTAGGAGCACGAAGTGCTTCCGATTGTAAAGAACGTTGTCCTGCTGGAAAATACTACGACCATGATGCTGGACTTTGCCGCAGCTGCGGACATGGTTTCTACCAACCGGAAGAAGGTTCCTTTTCGTGCCAAATCTGCGGTTTGGGGAAAACCACCCGAACTAGCGAAGCTGTTTCGCAAAAAGAATGCCGAGATGAGTGTGAAAGTGGCATGCAGTTGGCTTTGGACGGTAAATGCGAAGCTTGTCCCAGAGGTACTTACAGGACTCAAGGAATACAAGCGGCTTGTCAAGGATGTCCTTTGGGGAGGACCACACCTAAGACTGGTGCTATGACTATTGAGGAGTGTTCACTGCCGGTTTGCACCCCCGGCACGTATCTAAATGGTACTTTGAACAGTTGCATCCCTTGCAAGAAAGGGTACTACCAGTCCGAGTCGCAACAAACAACCTGTATTCGTTGTCCAGAAAATACAAGCACTAAGAGTACTGCAGCGGTAAGTACTACTAGAATGTTATCAATAAAATTTAATTGATTCATTCCAGACCAGCAAAGCCGAATGCATCAACCCTTGCACTATGAATGAATCAGGCATGCATTGCGATGCTAATGCCCACTGCTTATTAAACTCAGAATCAGGAGAATTCCGATGCGAGTGCAACACCGGCTTCAATGGTACCGGTCATGAGTGTACTGACGTTTGTGAAGGTTACTGCGACAACGATGGCGTCTGTGTCAAGGATATAAGGGGTCAACCATCCTGCCGATGCATCGGTAGTTTCACTGGTCGTCACTGTACCGAAAAGTCCGAATTTGCGTACATCGCCACCGGCATAGCTGTAGCTGTTATTATTATAATTATCATCGTTTTGCTAATTTGGATGATCTGTGCAAGGTAAACATAATGAATTTGTCATAAGAGTTACTATTTTCGATGTAGGTCTCATCGCAGGAAAGAACCAAAGAAATTGCTCACCCCCGCGACTGATCAAAACGGATCTCAAGTCAATTTCTACTACGGAGCTCCAACTCCATACGCTGAAAGTATAGCACCGAGTCACCACTCGACTTATGCTCACTATTACGATGATGAAGAAGATGGATGGGAAATGCCCAACTTTTACAACGAGACATACATGAAGGAAAGTCTCCATAATGGAGTGAATGGGAAAATGAATAGTTTAGCTAGATCGAATGCCAGTATTTACGGTACAAAAGACGACTTATACGATAGACTTAAACGACATGCTTACCCGGGCAAGAAAGGTAATGAGTAAGTAATAAGTGTGAGTGGTACTAACACTAACATTTTCCAGATAAAAGTGACAGTGACAGTGAAGGTCAATAGTTAATTCTGGTCAGCAATTAATTAAATGCTCAAGTAGCACAACAAATTTCTAGTGAACAATTTTTTCTTGTTAATATGTTTATTATAAGTACTACCATAGTTGTTAAATTATATTAATGTAAAATATTAACAATATGTTCAGTTATGTTGTGTGATGTAATTTTACATATTTGTAATTCTCGTACCTTCATCCGCTTATTATTATTTATAGTCACGAAACTGTCTTTTTTACTTTTTTATACAAATCGAAATATTTAATTATTGTCGTTACTGTAATTAGGTAGAGTTCTGATGATGTAATTATTTTTAATTATTGTGTTTAAGAGTGCGTCAGAATGAATGTGAAAGTTTTGTATACATATTATACTAGTACCTAGTCTAATATGTGTAATGTTCTAACTCAGATTATTATGCCTAGTTTTCTTGGTCATTTTCCTATGTTCTATGCATTTTTTTCAACAAAAACCATAGATTCAGTTGTTACGTCTGGCTCACATTTTTAAGAAATCAGAAAAAAAGGGTAGTTTTCTTTATTTTTAGCATAAAATCTAGCTCACATTAGAGTTAAGAACATTACGCATCATAGACTACTTATACTTATAAGAATGACTGAATAAAATATTACATAAAAAATTCTCGCTTTCTTCACCTTGCACAAGATAATTAAGATGTGTAAAATCAAACAAAAGTTCGGTTCAAAGATAAAATTTATTTTATACTTATCACAGAAGGTATTACATAAATTAAAAAGAAAGTATATTTACATATCATTAAATGACAAAAAGTGAGTAATCCACATCATTACATAAGATAAATTGAAAAATTAAAACCTACATTATACATATCTTCACCTTACTTAATATTTGATATGCTAAGAAAATTATTGCTCTGATACACATATTGCAAAACGAAATAAAACATAATAAACATACACTCATTTAAAATATTACTTATCAATTAGAGAATATCTTCTAATGAAAATTACACACACTATACATAAAATAGTACGTTATATCGCTTGTAAATATCAAATGACATGAGTTAAAATTAAATGCTTAATGGTAGATCTATATCTATTACCGTTAATGAGCATTTTAAAAGCTAAAAAACGAACACACATTAATATACAAATATGTCATCTCAATATCTTCATTCAGTCTCCGATTTATCACCTTTAGTCAAGTCTCTAGACCCAAACGGACTCGCCATCCTCTGATAATGAGGTTTTAACGTAGTAACCGGCCTTGTATAATCTAAGTGATCATACTCCAACTCTACAAAAATTAGTTTTTATTAATATACACTCGATCGCGTTAGATCAATTATAAAACATGCATTCAATGACGCAAAGCAGTTACAAATAACTTACATGAAATTATTTCCAAACGGAAATACCTGTGTTTTAATTATTTTTATCAGTAATAAAAACTCGTAAAGCCTTACCTATATCTTTAATATCCTTCTGTTTGATTTCGTCATACACATGATCGATTTTGTCAATGCTGTGATAAATATTTGGATTCGTAGCGTCAGCTTCTCTATTCTTCAGCGATTGAAGTTCATCCGAACAATAACTACCCTTTAAATCGTCATCGTCAGTCGAACAACAAGCCACCCCTAACCTGGCTCGTTCTAAATTCGTGTTCGTTGGTTTGTGCAAATTGTTACGTATTGTTTTCGAATTGTTCAAAAGATGTTCGTTGTCTCTTTTGGCACCGCCTTGATACGAATAGACAGGATTATCAAAATGATTGCGATCTGGTGAAAACGCAGAAGGATCAGCTATATATTGTACATGAGCAATTTCAGTCTTGAGATTTGATACTCGTCTCCTGTAGTAGACAAAAATACATCCGGCGGCTACTATTGCAATAATGGCGACGATGACACCGGCGATGACACTACCATAGTTTGAACTTTCTTCACTCGAGTGAAGAACTCGACTCAAAAGAATGGGTGTGTCACAATTCTCGCCATCGAAGCCGTGACGGCAAACGCAACCCTTTGCTGGGTGACACACAAAATTGTCATTTTTGCATTCACATGGAGCCATACAATGATCCCCGTAATATCCTTCGGGACATACTTAAAGCATCAATTATTAAAACTGCGGGTAATTTAAACCACCTTGACTTACTTTCAGTACATTGAGTTCCAGTCCATCCAGGCTGACACTTGCAAACACCATCATTTCGTCGACACTGACCTTTATTCGAACACTTGCAATGTTGGCTACAATTCATTCCAAATCTTCCAGAGTCACAAGGTCTAGTACAGTTTTTACCTATCCAACCTGGCAAACACTGACACTCGCCTAAATCAAACATATATTAAATTTCACTTTCACTTGAAGTTGTAATAACTAACCTGTGACATGGTGACAATCACCACCGTTTCGACACGAACAATTATTTTTGCAGTTCTTGCCGAATGTTCCAAGTGGACAAGGATGTTCGCATGTGATCCCGATATATCCAGCTGGACAAACATATTCTCCAGTTATGTGGTCACAAGTTTTGTTACCCATGGCGATTTCGCTGACTTCAGGACACACTTCTTTGCAACCGATGCCGTAATAGCCTTTGTCACATGGTTGGGAACAATCTTCTCCTTGCCAGCCTCTGGCACAGTAGCATTTTCCAGATTCTGGGTCACACGAGCTGTTGTTCTTGCAATTACAAATTTCTTTGCAATCGGAGCCGAATTTGCCTTGTGAGCACCGACTTTCGCAACGGACGCCTAAATAATATAAACAGAGTGTTTTAAAATTCAGTGCATTTAATTCAACCGCAAACAAAACCTGTTATTACAAGCCTTGTAATTTTGCTAAATGAGCGATTACATTTTTTTACCGCAAAAAAAATCATAATCGCTTTTCTCTGAGAAAAAGTTGCTTATTTTTTCAAGTTCTATTTGTGATTGAATTTAAACTTTGTGGATTTAAAAATGAATGTTACTAGACCATGCAGTGTTATGTAATGATTTTTCAAATGACCAGCCGTGTGAGCGAATGAACTACTTGAGTAATTGTACCTTTCCAGTCGGGTTTACAAATGCATTTGCCACTGACTGGATCGCAACCAATATAATTTCCTTGTTCGCATTGGCATCTTTGTTCGCAGTTAACACCGAAAAATCCCGATTCGCATTTATTTTCGCAAAACTGACCAGTAAATCCTGCTCCACAGGTACAAGTTCCTGATAAAACACACACATGCAAGAAACAAAAAATCAACTAAAGTGCTTGACTAATCAAATATTGTTAATCATAATTAGTAAAGCTAACCATTTTGAGGATTACATGAAGCTCCATTTTTGCAAGCACACTGTTTAGTACATTGTATACCATAGGAATAGTTACTACAGGGTCGATCACACTGCTGACCTTCCCAACCAGCGGTACACTGACATTGCCCTGTCTCGCTCGAACAAGTCGCTCCATTTTTACCTACAACATATTATTAAAAAACTTACAATTATAACACTTTTTCCAGCATACAATCACATTTTTGTGAACAATCCTCCCCGAAGGTATTATCAGGACAAGTTTGACCACAATCATCTCCGGTAAAACCCGGAGGACATAAGCAAGTGCCGTTAACGGGAGAACATTGAGCGTTGTTTTTACACTTGCACAAGCCATGGCAACCTTTGCCAAAAGTCAACAAAGAACACGGTCTTGAACAGTCTTTACTATTCCATCCTGGTTTACAAATACATTCGCCCGTCCACGGATGACACCTACACACATCAAATAAATTATAACGAAATCTACAATCCAATCCTACCTACATTTCCGTGTTGTCGTGATTGCACTGACAGGGATTTTTACACTTGTAGCCCCAAAAATCATTGGGACAAGCTCTAACTTCACAAAATTTACCTTCCCATCCGTGTGAACAAGAACACTGTCCGTTTATATTCGAACATTTTGCGCCATTCTGGCAAGCACAAACCTCACTACAATTTAAACCCCAAGTTCCCTCTGAACACGTATCCAAGCACTGAAAATACCATGTGAAAAAAACACAAAATCCTCCTCAAATCAAACCTTCTCTCCTGTAAAACCCGGTTGGCACTCGCACTCTCCCGTGACATGATGACAGGACGCCCCATTGTAACACCCGCAAAGTTGTGTGCAATTTTCGCCCCAAAATCCAAAAGGACACCTATTTGCGCAAACCGGGCCTGTCCAACCCGGCTTGCAGAAACATTGACCTGTTTCAGGATTACAAGTCCCCTCATTTTGGCACCGACATTCCGATTTGCATTCGCTTCCGTGTTTTCCAAGAGGACAAGAATCGTCACAGCTGAAATTTCCGCGATTATACAAAACTAAAAATTTGATTTTTCTTTTATACAGTGGTCCCGTCCAACCAGAACTGCATCGACATTCCCCTGATACGTGATCGCATTCGCCGTGAACACACCTACATTTCTCCGCGCAATCTTGTCCATAGCTACCTTTATGACATTTCATTTCGCAATGTGTTCCGATCCAACCACGAGCGCAACGGCATGTTCCATCAAAGGGATCGCACGTGGAATTATTCTGACATTCGCAATGATTTTGGCACTCGCGACCCCATAAGCCTTTGGGGCATGCTGAAAAATTTTCGTTTGTGAAAGTTTCAGACTTAAAAAAATAATAAAAACGGTGCGTTATGTAAAGTTGTTTTGATCTTTTATAGGAAATCAATGATACCAGAAATTCTTTAACTCTAATTCCGCTAACGGGTTTCACTGAGAAATTTTCGAATGATTTGTTACGTGTTCGACTACGTTCAGTAATTTAATGCAAATCATCCGAAATGAAAAAAATGAGTTAATTTTATAATTCCATCTTTCATGCGGTTATTTTTATAAACCGTTTGATAAAAAAAGTGAATGGTAATTTATTATGTAAATGTGTTACAATTATTCACGGAAAATGAAGAAATATAATAGCAAAACTGATTAACATTCAAATATTTTTTTTTGTATACGCTCCCGAAAACAGCTGTTTTAGGGACTCATTTGAGTCTCTAAAATGAGGCTTTTCCGGACTCAATAAAATAGTAGGCAAAACGGTTATTTTAGGTACTCAGTCCCCAAAAACAGTTTTTGCGGACTAAAAAATAAAATTGGTAACGAAATTTATTTAATTAGTAAGAGGTGAGAATTCGTGTTTTGGGAGCTTTAACAAAAAAATCTTGTATGCACCACATACGCAAAAGGTTTTAGGTGACTCCTCTCATTAAGGACTCGGCTCCTACGTCGCCTCGTCATTAATTACGATTCGTTCCCTAAAACCCTATTTTGCGTACTTGATACATAAATAGCTATTATGTGGCCAAAAACTAGAAAATTGTGAGAAAATCAAATAATGTCATCTGTGCGAAAAACAAAAAAAAATATTATCAAAAGCACACAACATTATTATAATAATAATGCAAATACATAAAATGCACTTAGCTAACAGTAAATAATTTAAGTACATATTCCTGTTTATTCATTTCATTTGTATCGTCTATTGACTATTGGATGTAGGTTATCTATCAAGGTTTGTATATGTCGTAGTCATTGGGCGTAATGCGTCATTCCGCGGAAAGCCTAGTCTTTGGCCGTACTGCCGGCAGAAGCTGTAATCAAATGAATATTCCTTTGTTTGACTGAAATTTTACGTCATTTCAGGGAATGCCCACTTAATTTTAGTCAAACAAAGTAACCGGTTAAACCAGTACATGTTACCGCGTTTGACGGAAGTGTAGGTATTTAGTCATTTGTTGAAATGAAAAGTCTTGAAATGTTTGAAACTTTCTGTATAAATGTAAATTTTTGGTAGAAGAAAAGAAAAGCCAAAAAAACTAGATATATTTATTGTTGTAWATTAACATATTATATGAAGAACAAAGATGCAAAAAACCGTYGAATTATGAAGAAATGAASGAGGTAAAAGACTTCTAACCTCAAAYTAKACCTTTATTTCAGTTGTARATATTTTAGGCTGCAAAAGATATTTTACTTGCCAATTTACCTGAATGCAGAAAATATATTTTTATCTGTTGTTTAGGTCATGACCTTAACGTTTTTTGTATGATTTTATTATATTATATGTTTACATTATTTCAAATAAACTGAACAAATATTGTGCTACAATAAAAATATTTTGTTTTTTTGGCTTTTCTTTTCTTCTACCTAAAATTTACATTTCTACAGCAAGTTTCCAACATTTCAAGACTTTTCAACAAATGACTAAATACACGTCCGTCAAACACTGTAACATGTAATGGTTTAACCGGTTACTTTAATTGACGAGAATTAAGTGGGCAATCCCTGAAATGACGTAAAATTTCAGTCAAACGAATGAATATTCACTTGATTACAGCTTCTGCCGGCAGTACGGCCAGTGACTAGGCTTTCCGCGGAATGACGCATTACGCCGAATGACTACGACATACAGGGTGTCCCAGAGCTCCGTATTTCTTCGATTACTTTGATAGTAAAGAAGATAACGAAATGCGGTTTTTTTTGGACGATAGACATTCGTTTTTTCTATGGTCCAAAAATATTTTCGTTATTATAGGTAATTTCTATATAGGGTGGCGCAACAAAGTTGTATTTTTTCTTATGGAACACCCGGTATATTATGCACTTATTTGAAAGAGTTTTTAATTCTATGAATATACATATTAGGTTTTATGGGTCTATCATGAACCGTTTATCATTTGTGGGCAATTTTATGAGAAAAATTTACCGTTTTTTAAAAATCACAACAGCTTTGCTAGAAAGAAAAAGTGAATAAAAACAATTGCAACCATTTTTACTAAGTCTGGTCCTAAGTTATTATGGTAGAAAATCAATAAATCTTTTGCAATTACTGCAGAGTATTGACATTAGTAAAATGTAAATTATCTTGATTTTTTCAAATGAAACACCCTGTATATTATTACTTTATCGTGTAGAGCTTTTAATAAGCTTTCTAAAAAACCTAGGGTTTGGAGTTCTAAATCTTACCTATTTTATTGTACACCTTTTTAAACCTACAAAATTTTAAATTATTCTATTTAGCGTTAAAAATCAAGTAGGTTTGCGTTATTTCCTCTTCTAAAAAAAATTGGATAATTTTTTAAAGTTACGTTATCACCATACATCAATTAAGAAAACAGGTTGTTTATTGAAATACTGAGTAAAACACAAGAAACGCTAATTGGAATTTGAATTCAATGCAACACCTTGATTATAAAAATTTCAAAACTTAATTAATTCCATAGCAAATATTCAAAAATCCTGCCATTACGCATAAAGAAAAGTTTGATTGCCCTCAGCATTTCAACAGAGATGTTATTAAAGACTTCAATTATTCTTTTTTCCATGTCATTTGGAGTGGTGGTTCTTGTTCGATACACCTTCTTTTCAACACACCCCGATAAAAAGAAATCAATTGTAGTAAAATCTGGAGTTTGCGGTGGCCAGACAATAGTTCTCCCCTCCTAATCTAACGATTACGAAATCTGTTGCTAAAAATTGTCACACAATTCGACAAAAATGAACAGGAGCTTCATCATGCTGTAGTTAAATAATTCTACATTCTCTAACAAACTTTATTGATGTATGGTGATAACGTAACTTTAGAAAAATAACTTTTTTAGGAGAGGAAGTAACGCAAACCTACTTGATTTTTGAGGCTAAATAGAATAAGTTAAAATTGGTATGTTTCAAGGGTGTACAATAAAACAGGTAAAGTTTAGACCTCCAAACCCTAGGTTTTTTAGAAAGCTTATTAAAAGCTCTACACGATAAAGTAATAATATACAGGGTGTTTCATTTGAAAAAATCAAGTTATACTTGATATTTTGCGAATGTCAACACTCTGCAGTAGTTGCAAAAGATTTATAGAATTTTAACCATAATAATTTAGAACCTGACTCAGTAAAAATGGTTGCAATTGTTTTTATTCACTTTTTCTTTCTAGCAAAGCTGTTCAAAAATGGTACTTTTTTCTCATAAAATTGCCCATAAATGATAAACGGTCCATGATAGACCCATAAAACCTAATATGGATATTCTTAGAATTAGAAATTCTTTCAAATAAGCGCATAATATACCGGGTGTTCCATAAGAAAAAATATTACTTTGTTGCGCCACCCTATATAGGAAGTACTTACAATGACGAAAATATTTTTGGACCATAGAAAAAATGAATGTCTATCGTTCAAAAGAAACCGCATTTCGTTATCTTCTTTACTGTCAGAGTAATCGAAGAAATACGGAGCTCTGGGGCAGCCTGTATATAAGGAATTAGTGATACATTTTTGTTATTTGTTTAAGACACCGTCTTTCTAATGAAATTATCAATATCTCGCCTGAGCATTTTTTGAGTTTAACTGATTCCCGTTGGCGCTTTCAAATGAGGAAATTTTTTAACATATCCAATTTTTAAGCTTAACGTGTTTACTCTCATAACATCAATTCTGCCTTGCGTATTTTGTTTTGTTGTATCCTTTCTTCCCAGCATTTATTAGTACGTTGTTTTTTATGAAAAACTCGGAATCACTGCTTCAATACATTTTTTTTACGAAATGCCCAGGCGGGAATAGAATTATTCTATCAAGACAGCGTTGGTTTAAGATATACCTTTTAAATAGCTTTTATAAAGTTTACATGGTTGCAAATTCACAACACAATAAATTTGTTTTTCATCAAGAAATCAACAATTACAAATTATTTGACTAATTTCTTTAATAAATAAACTTTCATAAAAGAACTTTTGGTATAATTCAATAATAATGTATTTCGAAAAAACTGTTACCGGAAACTTTTTAATTATTACAATAATAGAATATCTGTTGATAAACCCAGCCTTGAACTTTTGTCATTTATCTCAGTCTCTTCTCTATGTTAGAATATAGCAAATCGTTTCAGAGTTTGCAATAAAATAAAAATTATTATTTGTTGAATGTAGTCATAAAAGTAGATAATGTTGATGTTCCTAGGATAAAGTAACTTATAAAGATCGTATTTATTTACATTCCTCGTCATAAACACACTGTATTAAATGTATGTACTCTACACTTTTAAAGATAGTAGTATATTCTTCTCTGATTTAAAATAAATTGAATGAACAAGGCGAACGAACGCTAACGTGAAAATAATTGGTCGTAAAGTTAAAACAACTTACTAATATCACAGTAAGGTCCCCCGTAGCCGCTCTCACAAAGACACTGTTCAGGTGCTATACATGTTCCATGAACACAATCATGCGAACACACCGGTATACACCTATCCTCGGAACTGCTTTTCGTGTACCCTTTACAACATTGATCTACCGGTCTAAATTTAACTAAATTTTGTGTTTTGTACACGGTTTTGAACTTGATTTTGTACTTTGAACATCTGGGTGGAAAATTCAGACACCACACGTATTCTCTTACTTGATATGGTTGTTGTTCCGAAACTCGAACAGTTGTCGTATACCTTTCGAAAAACAATCGATCAACTCCTGACTCGTCTCTGATTAAAACTACTTACGATTCTTGCGTTGTGCATACATTGGGACCTTCTAAAAGGGCTGCTAAAGGACTAATTAAAAATGGAAGTAATAACAAGAAGTGTAACATTTTGTTTCAATTTGACGAAAGTCATTTAGCGTTGTAGAAAAGTTATAAAACTGCACCCATCCTGTTTGTACATGATAAGGAAGACAAATCCATCTGAAACAAAAGATAATTGTGTCAACAGTTGAACGTCACTATCGGAAGTGCCTAGTTTTAAAATACGACAATGAAACAAACTTTGAAGATCAAGAGACGGTTGTCTACCAGTATTAATCAACAAGATGAAGATATATGACACATTTTAACTAGTGCTCAATTATACATATAGTATAGAAATAGAAACATTTTTAACCCCCTAAAACTAACAGCGGAGGGAGCTATAAGCATTTGACACTCAATAAAATAACGAAACCGACTTTTAAGATCTAAAATGTTTGACATTTAGCTTCTCATGTATACATAAATGTAAAACTTCTCAAATTTTTAATAAACAATAGTAGTTATTAGAAGATATAATAACAGTGGTTTCACTTGAAATATCCATGAGAAGTGCATTTATTCAATACTATTATAATTCACATAAGAATAGAAAACACAAAGTTGAATTCGCATTGTAATGTTCCGTTACTAAAGTTGTTTATGTAATTTACTAATTATAACAATAAAAAAAAATTAATTGGTATGCTACATGTTGTTTATTCTTTAATAAAGGTCCTGCTAGTTTCTTAACCAATTCTACTCAATACTAGCGACAAATTTCCCAACTTATGAACATAGTAGAACATATATGTTTATATTTTATAGTTTTACTACCATGTTTTTGTATTTTTTTAAAAATCATTACAGTAATAAATTAAGATGTTACAAATATTTGCCCAATTATTTTTCAACCGTTTTCATAAAATATCGCCCAAAAATTATTTATGTTGGCTTGTAGATTGAGAAAAACATTAAACAAAAAGTCGACCTCTAGTTGTTTACTCTCATTTTAATAAAAATTCACCAACCGCAACAAAATCAACAAAAGCACGCACCAATGCCAAAAATATTTTAGTCTTAAATTGCAAAACAACATTGATTATTTAAAATGTCTCTTTTATTATATTGCTAAAAACAATCACACGGAGATGAACTTCGTTTCAGTTCACTGATTCATATACGTGCGAAATGTCACTGAAATTGTGATATACTCGTAAATATAAAACAATAAATAACACAAGAACACAGCACTCATCACTAATTGAAAATTGATTTAATTATTAAAGTTTCGTGACTCAAAATAGTGCGACAAATTAACGAAAAATGTGTTTTTTACAATGCACTCGCAAAAATAATTACATTTGTAAAAACCTTGAAGATTTAAACGCGCCATGGGTAAAAATAATTCGTTAGATTGCGAGCAACAGTTGCAAAATTCTGGTGACCCCATTAGGAAGAAAGAGACAAGAGAAAGAATTTTTGCAATTCCGGCAGTTATAAATAAATGACGAGTTAGTATTCAGCAAACGTTTCAATAACCTACCTAATCTTTAAACATGACCGACATAATGTCTTGTTAACGGGATTATATTCATAATACTTCACTCATAAAAATGAATTTTAAAGCAACATTAAACTGTTATATGATAATTTAAATAAGTAATTCAGGGAAAAGTGTGTGAAACGCGAATAATTTAAACTATAGCAGGAAATTAATTTGCCTTGAAAAAGTTCCTGATGCATTTGAGTAATTCTAACAGTTTTTATATCCGTGCTTCTACTTCTCAAATGACGACCGCAATTAACGTGGTTGTATTTATTAATAAAATTATTAATATTCATTCCAAGAAAATATGTTTATAGCCAATAATTATTTATGGAAGAACCAAATTTTAGAGAACATTTTTGAGAGCGTTGCTCATTACCATAGCAAAATTCCGCATAAGAAATAAAATGAAAAGAGAAAAACAAAATTTATAGTCTCTGGTTCTTGAAGATGTATCCACGATGTAGGTATCTTAAACTTTCTGTTGTTCAAAAGGTATGACGTTTATTGTCTGTGAAAGGTTATTTTATAATTTGAGTCATAGATATTCAAGGATAATAAATAATTAACTGAAGCAACAACTTCAAGCAACTAACAATGATGGTAGAACATAGCTCCTGTTTACCATTTGATAAAACATACGTTGTGTAGTCCGGGGAATCCTAAATGCTTATCATTGCAAAATAATATTGAATGACCTACAATGATCATTTCGAAAGTTTTATATCGTCTAAACAAATGAATCATTTGAAACATGAAACTTATCGTATTTTAGTTGTGTCAACGAAAATGTAAATATGATTTAAACAAGACAAGGAAACTTGCCCTCACCTTGAATTTTGGACTTTCTTCCGCAACTGCAAATATTTTGAACGTGCTTAGGCATGTCATACTAAATAGGTGTTAGCATAAATTGCAATTTCATTTACAACCTAATTTGGCAAAACATTTGTGTTTATCGTGACTGGTAATTAGGAACATAACAATGGCTTTAATCACTTTGCAGCGATTTAAGACCAAGTTAAATGACAAGACCATGATTCTGAGAACGTTAAATCTGAACATAAAATAAAAGAAATGGCAATTCAAGCACAAAGGTATAGGTACACTCGTCCCTCATAATTAAAAAAAATACAAACATATTTAAATATGACGCTTTTTCCTATTTTTGAAGATTACTACTATTTAAAGTATAAATCTTATCACTCTTCATTACGTATTTAATTAAAAGGAAAAAGAAAATGCTCCAATTTATATAAGGATTTTTGTTTTTTTAGACTTAAATTTCAAAAACATCTGGTTTTACTATGAAAATATTTTAACACGGTAGTCTGTTACATATCACTATAAGATTCACAGAGCGCACGCATGCATTTGGTTGCAACATAATTTTGAAATAAGAAATATAGCAGAATGCGATAATTAGTAACAAATTCCGATGCACCAACAAACAAAATTCTTGAAATTTCAAATTCGGTTTTCAAAGCGAATATCTTTGTATGTATTCTAATTATGAGTTTGCACCTGAATAGATTTAGTTGCACGAATGCCAATTTAAATTCTACGCGAATTTTCACATTGATACGTTAATTATTTTATTTTATTAGATGTTGTGGGTATGCAAAATTATACAAAAAAAAAGTAACAAACACAGTTAAAAATAGTTGATAATCACTTAATCAATTCATTGCCAATATTTCATATTTTATGCCTAATAAATTTAAATTTCTTTTGATGCCACATAAAAAAATTAATTTGAATTGATTCACACATTCAATGAAAAACTGAAATCATAATTGATAATAAGTCGACAGGATCTGACGTTGAAGTAATTATCTTTGTTGAATTGCAAAGTCGTCCGCTTTCGTTTACATTACAGCAAGTATCATCTTGACTGATAACGTTAACATTCCGTCAACAAACCATAAATCAAAAGAGTTAATACCATAACAAGAAACCATTTGACAGTAAAGAAATTACTATTTTGCAGCAGTAGAGCTGACAATCTAGAGAAATTACTTAATTCCAATACGCCTAAATAACATACTGTAGTCCCCTACCCGCATGACAAAGTAGAAAGTAGTTGTTTCGAGTAGAATAAAAAATAATTTAGAATCTAGTATTCCCCCTATTATTCACATCCTGTAAAATGCCCTTATATTCTTATCAAAAAAAATATTAGAGCTTGATTCAAAAATAAACATCAATTCGTGTTGGGTAATTGGTAGAGAAAGTTACGTCATAAAATGTATTGATTAGTGAAGATTCTAACTTGAAATGTTTGTGCCACTTTTCCCCAGAAATCACTTCCTACTTACTGCAACATAGATAAATGTAGTAACATTTAGAAACTATAGGTAAAGCTAAAGTGACCAATTTCAGAAAATTTAAAATCAGGACACTAATAAAAATAATTATAACAATTTTATTTCAGAATACAAAATAAATAATTAAATAGGTCTTACCAATGTTACATCTTGCAACATTAACAGAGACCTATTGAAAAAACACCAATTTGTATCTAATGATGTACAAAACATTTAACAAACCATATAGCAAATTCAACAATAAATTAATTTCAACAACATCGAGAACAAAAAGAGCTAAAACACCTAACATGATAATATACTCATTGATAGTTCTGTTTTTTCTGAAAAAAGCTTGAAAAAATCTGCATTCATTTTTAACAAAACTCAATCGCGCAAAAAATGTCAAAGCGTCACGAACGTTAAGGACTTATCGATCTCAGACAATAAACAATTGTCTTCGATCGATACTACATATTTAACTTGAAAAACCCTTTGTTTTCGCTGTAAATAACAATTTCAAAAACGGCATATTTAAGTCTGTATGCGCTTAAATCGGAACAAATCAGAGGACATAAACGTAAAACAGGACAAGACAATAATAAGTGTTCTGGCTAAAACAGTATGGTTACCTTCTACAAAGCACTTCAACGTCCATTGTCAAATCAAAACATAAAATATCAGATAAGAGTTATCGTCCAAACAAAAATGATTAGTTTTCTATTTCCTTTGTGCAGATTTGATCATAATTAAGGAAAGTTTGCAAACGATGCGTTGTTATCAAACATTTGACGATAAACCAAACAAATCCAAAGAACTCTGACTCACGGTTTCTGCCCCGTAAGCAGTTAGAGTGATTAGGATTACCTATATTATTCAAACACCAAAAGCATTTTCAAGTGCTGCAAATGTTAAACACATGTTTGCGATTTATAAATAAGTCGATCCACATATGGCTGTTTTCTAATATAGCTTTGCTAACTCATTAATAAATCTTTCCGGAACAAAATCCAGCTTTTGACCTCAACTTCAATCAATTTTTATCGGATAAACCGCAATTTAATTAAGTTATTAGTGCCTTAATTTTACTGTTGATTGTAAGATTTATTCCCAGAAGGTAATTAATTAAGAAAAAATTTGGTTATTATTGTAGTTTTTATCAACTCATGGAATTAATCTGGGGTGATGAGTCATCGACTTTACCAAGTGACGGTTTTAAATGATATACAGCAAGCATCCACATCCTTTCATGGAACACTCACTCTTCAGCACTTACCTTTGTTTTGAAATCGGTTTTATTTGATTTGAATAATTACCACATCCTACTAACAATTTTTACAGAGAAAGAGAGAAGACACAAAAATTACCGTTATCATAATGATATTATTATCTGCATCATTGTGTCTCAGCATGATTGCTTGAATCTCTGTTAGTTGCATTAGATGTAAATCTCTTGATAAGAAGACCTAATTAGGAAAAATATTTTTATTCGCGGTCACGTTTAAATAATGAGAATGATGCCTGTCTGGCCCTCCTACGCATGTTTACAAGAACAAGATTCATTTACAAAGCAATGATAGCAAAATTCATTGTTATAACTTAAATCATTGAACAGATGGGCCATAAGGAGTTATTATTTAACCTAATTAACACGGCTTTAAATTGGTTCATCCGGTTGAAAAATAGATACTTAACTGAATTGCGGTTTTAACAACACAGGTGCATCCCAGATACCTGTTTTGTTGTCGTGTATTAAAAGAATGTGACCTGACCTTCATCGCAGGTACGAAAGGGCAGTAGCCCCAAACTAAAACAACAACACAGCACAAAAAAATCTTAAGGAAGTACGTAGTAAACCGTAGTAATTATTTTTTATTCGTACCCTTTTACGTATTGTTATTGTTAAGGTACCGAGACAGACGTAAATACTGTTGTGGTGGGTCGATGATTATAATAATCTACGCAAGGACAATAAAACAGTTAAAATTCGGAAGGAACTGTAACAGTTCTGCGTCCTAATTCTTATTTTTGGATTTATTACAGATTAAGATTACAATCTATGTTTTTGTTTATGACACTTACCTAGGCGCAAAAAAATATAAAAAGCACAAAACTTCTAAAACTTAAATTAAAACACTTGATAAAAAGTTATTTATGATTTAATGAAATCAAATTTAAAAAACATAAATGCTACCACTAAAAGATAACTAAACATAAGTGAACCAGCATATCACCCAACACAAACTGAAGAAAGCAACATGTCAAAAATGTTAGCCCAAATATTATCTGCGCATGCCATAAATTTAAGTTTTTCTCCGCTTGTTGTTTCAACCGAAAAATACAAAGACTTTAAAAACTTTAACAACTACTTAAACTCAAATTCATAAATGTAACACAATATTTGGTAGTCAGCAAAGTCAAAAAATATTTTTTTTGTCCTCACTAATCGTACAACGTGCAAGTATTTAAGTTATGGATGTGTTTTCGGTTGAAAGCAATTTCGGGAGAAAAAGCAAGTGACAAGTGATAATTGTAGGTTATATTCTGCTTGTGATAGCAGTAATAGTTTATAAAACCTGTCTCTAGATAAAAACCGATTTCACAATAATGGCGTTACCCGAGAGTAGCGAGTCTTCAGAAAAAAAACAGTCTGATTCCAAGGGTCCTGATAAAAAAGAGAAACTTCTTACAAAAGTGGTAATCCGTCGTTTGCCCCCAAGCATGGACCAAGAGACTTTTTTAAATCAAATATCGCCTGTTCCCAGCTACGATTATTTTTACATGGTCAAGGGTGATGCTAGTTTAGGCGAAAACTCCTTTTCCCGTGCTTACATCAATTTTGTGAACCCCAACGATATTTACGATTTTAAGGAAAAATTTGACAACTACGTTTTCCTGGATAGTGCTGGCCATGAATACGCGGCAGTAGTCGAATTTGCTGCTTTTCAAAAAATCCCAAAGAGGCGTAATAAAGTTAGAGTGGACCCTAAAGTGGGTACTATTGAATCAGACCCTTATTACTTGGAATTTGTTGAAATGATCAATAAACCCCCTGAACCTGACGAAAAACCTGAGTATTCCTACCAGATTACAACGGAAAATAAAAATGAAACTAGTACACCTTTGTTGGAATATGTTAAAAATAAAAGAGCAGAAAAAATGAGAATTCGCGAAGAGAGGAGAGAAGAGCGGAAACGAAAGGAATATGAAAGGAAGAAATTCCGTGAAGATGAACGGAGGAAACGATATGAAGAAAAATCGCCCGTGAAGAATAAATCCCAGTTTACAAAAGTTGTGAGCCCCAAAGAGAAAAGTGTGGATAATAAAGAAGCGGAGAAACGTGAAGGTGAAGATAAATCGGCTGAAGATAAAACACCAGAAAAGGAAGATCCGGAGAAACATGAAAAGCCGACCCCTGCATCATATTATAACAAAAACAGAGAGAAAAAATATGATGACAGGAAGAAAGACCCCAAGAACAAATATCCACCTAAGAAGGATTACATGGATAAAAGGGAATACAAAAGCAGAAGAGACGATTATAAAGACTACAAAGAGAGGGACTATAGGCAAAAATACGACGATTACAAAAAAGAAGAGACTAAAGTTTATCAAAAGAAGGTCAAAAAATACACGGAGAAGAGGGAGGAAAGAAAAATTGAGGCACAAAAGAGACTTGAGCAGCAACAGGAAAACACTGCGAAACCAGAAGAAAACGTAAAATCAGAGCAACAACCTAAAGAAAGCCCAAGTAAAAAGGAGGTAATATTACCCACCAATGAAACAAGTCAAGAAACATCTGCTAAGTCAACTGAGAAATCAAAATCAACAAAGGAAAGTGATGCGCAATCTCAGAAACGGATTAGGAACAAAGACAGGCCCACGATTGCTATTTACAGGCCCGGAATGTTATCAAAACGGAAGCAGAATGAAGGAGAAAGTGAACATAAAGAAAACAAAAAAGAATAAATTTTTATTTTATTTTTTAGTTAAATAATGTTTGTTTATTTTGGTATATTATATTGTTCTTTTTGTTTGCCAATAAACCTTTTTCTGTTTGCGAAGTGTTATTCATTAATTTATTCTCTTGTTTTTTCTTGAAAAAAAAAATAAAAAATATAACCTTACGTTATTTTTTGCTTGTTATTTATAAATACTTAAAACAATGTTTTATTCAATATAATATATAGATGATATGTGTTGATGAATATGTATTCAGACAAATCACGTTTACAATTTATTTCAATGTTTTCAATATAAAATTCGCATAACCTCAAAAAGTGCTCAAAGTTATGAGATAAAATTAACGAATAACAATGGGGTTAAGCAAGTTTGTTTCCTTCTATTTATTAAAGAAGCACATAAAACCACTATTATATCGGTCATTAAGTAAAACTAGCAAAAAGCCTCCCTGGAAAATATTATTTTTTGGTGCCGACGATTTTTCGATATTTAGTTTAGAGAAATTAACTGAAGAATAGTGAGTACAGTTTATTCTTATCACAACTATAAAAGTAACAATTTATTTCAGCAGAAAAAAGGCACTACTAAGTAGACTTGAAGTTGTAACGACTGTGAAAGGCAAAGCCAATGCTGTAAAATTATTTGCAGAAAAAGAAAATCTTCGGTTACATAAGTGGCCCCCTAGTATTGGTGTGGGAGAGTTTGATGTCGGCATTGTTGTATCTTTTGGGCATTTAATACCAAAAAGTATTATAGACCAATTCCCTTTGTAAGTTTATCCACATTTATAATTTTTTACTGCAATTAATTATCATAGAGGAATGTTGAATGTCCATGCAAGTCTTCTGCCACGTTGGAGGGGCGCAGCCCCAATTATTTACGCCCTAGCAAACGGCGATACGGAAACGGGAGTCACTATAATGACAATAAGTCCAGAAAAATTCGATATAGGGAAAATAGTTCGGCAAGAATCTGTGTCAATTCACCCTGAAATGAGACAAAGCGAACTGTACGCCACTTTAGGAAAATTAGGAGCCTCACAATTAATTAAAACCTTAGGGAACTTGCCTTCAAATTTAAATAACGCAAAACCTCAGCCAACAGAAGGAGTTACCTATGGTTGGATTTGTTTTTTTATTATTATTTTATATAAGTAATATAAAATTATAGCCCCAAAAGTGGATCCCACCTTTGCATCCATTAAATGGAATCAAATGACTGCTGAACAAATCTACAATTTGGGAAGAGCCTTGGAGGGCATTTTTCCGTTACAAACAACTTGGAAAAGGAAGACAATTAAATTATTAAATATAAAAAAAGGAAATTATTTAAACAGTCGTAAAAACATCCAACCTGGATATGTGAAATATGATAAGGAGAAAAACGTTCTGAAGGTTTTATGCTCAGATTTTCAGTACATTGTAGTAGAAAAAGTTGGTGTAGTAGGTAAAAAATTGATGTCATCAAGAGACTTTAATAACGGCTTTGTAAAGAAAGAACCTCCTGATTGTAGATACTTTACATAGTTTTAATAAATTTATATTCAAGGAAAGTTTATTGGGGGAAAACTGCATAAGGGAATTAAAGAACGCATCTTTTTAAGTACATTTATGGTTCAACAAATAATACTTAGTACACCCTTAGTTGTTTTTTTCGAGTGTTTAAAAATTACTATCCAAAACTAGCTTTGGCTAAATTACAATTTTTGGCAGAACACATTTTTTGTACTTCTTATGTCCGACTAATTTTTTTCTAATAATTTGACACCTATTATAGAAGAAAATAATTAGCTGATTACTGCTTGACCCTGCAAAAATACAATTATATAATAAGATTAATAAAAGATTCCTGACTGAATTATTGAGGTGTTGTTAGTACAATGAAACAGATGTTTTTTTGATTAATAAAACGCCCCATTTTAATGTTATTTATTGAACTAGCAAAAAAATCAGTCTTAACTTATTCAACACCAATTTTATGACAACCACATTAATTTTGTTAACTTGAAGCTTTGATTTCGTTAGTTGCTTATAGTATAACGTTTAAATCAAAGGAAATACAACACTATAATTTATAGTTTACACTTTGGCTTGTCATAACTACTGTCCCTAAAACAAAATCATGTATTAATAACAGCACAAATGGATTTAACAATAATTATATTACTTAAACATTACAAGTCAGCAAAATGTTAATTTAAAAAAATGCAAAATTACGCAGTGAAACAGGACGGGAAGGAGGAAGGCTACAGGAATGTTATGTTTCGGGGAATGTATCTGGAAAAAATTAATATTAATTTAAATAAAGACAGCAAAAAGCGAATAGATGAGACAAGAATAAAGTAAAATGCATCAACGTCACTATTCACTTTATCGCCGCCAATAAAAACTAAATACAGAATGAATGGTTGCTAATATTTTTTATTCACCGATTATTCACAAATCCGGACATCTACTTTTTTAGTGAAAATATAACATTCGACAATTCACATCTCACATACTTACATAAAATAATTCATTACATAACAATATTTTAATATCACACATACACACCTATGGAATAGGAATAAGTAAATTTGACGTAATGATTAATTATCATCTACACACGATTGTTCTACTCATAATTATTAGTATTCTTTTAATGAAATGTATAATTTATGATTTTACCCTTTATTTTTTACCAAGGCACTCGCTACTTCAAATTAACACTTGCTTTTTCTATTGGTATTGTTACAAGTTATAACAAACACATGCAAAGCAAATGGTAAATAAATATGGAAAATAGTCATAAAAAATATGGAAATTGCAAGACATGATAAATTGCTTGAAATAAAAAATAATGAATTACGAAAATTCTGATATGTATCGGGATATTAATCTGTTCCGACTAATTTTTACAAACAAGAAGCCATACTTACAAATCTACATAATCTATACATTAAAACTCTAGAACTGAGTCACATTAAAAGGTTTAAATAAATAAAACACAATCCTTTAAAAATTATAAATCTATAAAAATAAGAAACTGTAAATTTCGTATTCTCTAGAGCAGTTACGTGCTCAACAGTCAATAGAATTTTCGCAATCTCCAACATATTAGTATAGATAAAAACACAACAATGTATCTAAAAACTACGCAACAATGGTGTATAAAAATAAATGACCGCCTAATAAGTAGTACAAAACACCTAATTGGTATTTTGTGTAATTATTAGACGGTATTATCAACGGATTATGCTTTGCGGTAAATAATTTTCGTAGCATGCATTATTAGCAAGTTGTACTTTGTGTTATTTTTGGCAATGAAAAGCACTTACATGTGCTCAGGATGATGTCTAATGCAGTCGATAAATTCAGCTACAGGTTTCTGTCCTGTACAAATTTTATGAATGGCTGTAAACAAGGGAAATCTGCAACAAAAGTAAATCAGAAATATCTCACAGATATTAAATCCCTACTAACTTATCCTCCATGCCCTTATTTTTCAACATATAGTTGACCTCCTCTGCCGTGAACGGCCCTTGCAATTTCTGCCCGTTCAACATCTCATCCTCCAACACTTTTATCGATTTTCCAGTTTTCACAAACGCTTCGCTCACTTTCCTGTTTCTACCCCCGTAGCAGGTCGTGATCAAATCAGCAACACCGCAACTTTCAAAGAACGTTGACAATTTTCCTCCCGGATAAAACACATCAACGAATTTAATCATCTCCATGAGCCCCAATCGAATTACTGCAGCTTTGGTGTTATCACCCAAACCCAAACCGTCCACAAAACCGGCCCCACACGCTACGATATTCTACACACAGAAAATTAAAATAGGAAAAAATGCAAATTCAGAAATTACTTTCAAAGCTCCACAAATTTCTACAGTGTCTTCATCGTCCACTACGACTACTCGGAAGTAATCGGTTTGGATAATATCGCGGAGCAGTGGTCCTTGTTTGGTGTCTCTACAACCGATGGTTGTCTCGCAAAAGTTCTCGTCAGCCACTTCACCGGCGAGATTTGCCCCCATGAGGACAGAGCAAGGGATTCGCAAATGACGGGTGATTATGTGCGAAATGAGGTCGATTCCCCCGCCCTCTGCCCGGTCGAAGCCCTGAAGAAATGGCGATCAAAGTTCAAAAAAAGTGCAATTTAAGATATTAGAAACGTATTCGTCATTTTTGAATTATACGTATCAATGTTCAAGGAGACTCAGATTTCACTCATTAATATAAAAATAATCATTGAACTCGTTCAGACTGTAATCGCAAATACTCCGCGATTTCAGTTTTCTAATACATAATTAGCTCTAGGGATAAAATAAACAATTATTTATCAGTTCGTTATCAATATCAACTAAAAATGACATAAATACATTTCTAAATATAGTAAAATACTTTTCCCAAATTACTATTGGTATTGGTATTTTTGTAATTAACATTTGAATACCTTAATGGGAGCTGATTAATTACAGCATAAATTGCGATAACAATGCATTTTGCGCAATACCAGAGATATTACATTATTAACAACAGACATGTGATTCAAAGTTAAACTGTTTTCAAATTATTGTGAGCGAATGACTATTTCATTGACTAATGAAAAGAATTTGTTTCGTGTGTTAAACTTGAATTTTTTGGGATCTTATTTTCCCATTTTAAAGTAAATTAAATTTGGGATTGCTTCGTCCTTGCACTTAGTAATTAGTGTTAGTGTTTTAAACTGACCTTAATCAGAGATAAAGCAATAGCTGTTGGTTTGATTTTTCCTAAAAGAGTTGAGCATAGCGTTCTTATGAACTGATGAGGTACTACAAAAATTAGAATATCAGCCTCTTTGGCTGCCTCCACGACATCTGGAACTGCCACCTGGAGAGAAAAGTAAACAAGATAACAATGATTTTCCTCTAGTGAACACAGTACATAGTTCATACATTAGATCAAGGTCATTAAGTACAAGTGAATTATGTGTAATGAAGTGATAATTACCACATTGGGAGGCAACTTGTGACCTGGAAGATATTTAACGTTCTCGTGCGTTTCATTAATGATCTCTGTGAGTTTCTTCCCATTTATCATTTCTTCGTAAACATACATAGTAACCCTGTCATCGAAATGGGGTAGTTTTTTCGCATTGCTCCCGACAATTTTCGCAATAGCGGAGCCCCTGAAACATCACCTTGACATTACCCGAAATTTCTTCTGTAAATAATGTGCCAACAAAAAAATAAGTTATCTAACGCTCAATTAGCAAAATAACACAACTATAAACCTAGCACTAGCACACCAAACAATAAATTACCAATTGCCGCTGCCTACTATGCACACTTTTTTTAATTTCTGGGACATTCTCGCAGACGATTCGAAGAGGTTATTAGAGTGACAGCTTGAACGCTTACTTGCCAGCGACTGCTGCGATTGTTGTGGTTTAAACCGAGGTGATAAGACTGATACCGCCCAAAAGCGACGACCGACGTCGATTCTAATCCTTCCAATCAGAGTTTGATAACACGGCAAACCGCCAATCATAAGGCTACCCGGAGGTCATCTACTTGACTCGGATCAAATGTATTCAAACGCGAAACCTTGGGTCAAAGCACGTCAAAGGAAAAGTGGGCGCGCGAAGTTTAAGGTCGAGAATTGCAACTCACCCTTCCGTGGAGTTGACTCGACATCACGAGTTGCGTTATGTAATTGCACAGTTTTAACACATGGGAGCAATGAGTCTATTACATTACAAGCATATTAGAAAAGATGTTTATCGAACAATGCGTCTACAATTTTAGCATTCTGATAATACGTTATATAAGAGTATTATAAATAAGCAAGAAAAATATAAGACTCATTGATGATCTATTAATCTGTTTTGGTATAATTTATGCATGTATGTAAAAAACCAATATTCGACAGGAGCCCAGTAGGTAACATCAGTAGCCATCAATGAAATGGGTTTATTTTCAAACAAATGAACACCTGTGATAAACACTGAAAGGAATGTGTGGATGCCTACACTATCATCAGTGCGGAATTTTTTCTAATAATTGAATTCTAATACTTTTTTTCACAAAAAATACAATCAAAATCATGTTCATGGAATTAGGTAACATGATAACGCCGTCAAATCACGAAAATTAGAAATGATATCTTATATCTACGGGGGGTACTTGTGCAATTTAATCATTCTCCATAAAATTTCCACTGATGAAATCTTGTAATTGGAAAAAAACTTGTTTCGCTGATAAACTTAATTAACTTCCATCACGAAGGAGACATTTGAAAGAATAATTAATAAAACAAATTTCAGATGACAACATTTACTTCTATCTATTGACGTACACATTTTTACTGCTACAATAGGTGTTACTTTACTGCAATTAGCTATCATGCACTTGAATAAATATTGAAACTTATATCTAACACCAACTAGTCTTTTTATTAATTTCGGTTACAACGTTTATAACAGATCACAAAAAAGCGGTATGATTTAAGTACGGCATTAAATGAAAATGAATGTAGAAAAAAATATATATTTAGATAACTTGTATTTTAAATTAAATAAATAAAATAGATTTATTCTTCAGCTGTTTGAGAAGCCGAATCTAGAAGATTTTCAAATGAAAAAGGCAGGAAGGCGTAGCCTTGTCCCGAGTAAAACTTGCTTTGAAATTCAACCCTGGAAAAAAACTCTTTACATAAGTTCTCAATCTTTCTTTTTTCATTACCAATGAAGACGTAAGGTGTGCAAAAACGCTGACAAGCCCTCCATCAAGACAAGAATCGAAACTGTCAAACAAGCCCAAAATGCGAATATAATATAAAGAATAACACCTCCTTCCCATCCATCGAAAACTAATCCTTTATTCAAAACCATATTCCACAACACTTCCGACAATTCTGAAAATAACAATAAAAAAATTGACAATTTACTTTCCAATAGAAAAAACTCACGAGCATGAGCCAAAGATAATGCCCACAACCGCAAATAAGACGCGGTGTGTGAAACCGAACCCAACACATATTCAATAGTGTGAATCCCCTGATGGATAAACATTTCCCCAAGATCTTCTTCGTCATGGCCGCCTCCATGAGCAGCAACCGGTTGAGATGTGTTATTATGCATTGGTTGTTCAGCATCGCCATTACCTGTAGCTTGTTGCATCTGTTGGTGAGACACCTAAATCATGATTAATTAAATTGCCAAAACTAGTTTTGACAATTTTACCGAATAGTTCATTTTGCGACGGTTACGCATGATGTAAACGGGTTTTGCGAGAAGCATCCAAGGAACGCAAATTACAGCACACACGAAAAGTAGTTTTTGGATGGGGATTTGACCAGCATACATGGTCGCATCGCACTCTGAATCGACGATGGTCTCTTTGTTTAGTACCATATTGATGAAGGTGATGAGGATTGAGGGGGCACAGCGAGGACTGTACTTAATATAAGTTTCTGCAAGTCACATTTGGAATGGCAATTAAGCACAAATTGTCTTAATAATAATTACGAGTATTATTTTAATCACTTTACCGTTTTAAAAAATATTTTTTATTTTACAGGATGATTCAAAAGTGTCGGAACAACTCTCAAATGATGATAGAAGACCTTCAGTTAATACAGATTTTTTAAGCTTTGGTTTCTGAGAAAAAACAGAACTGACAGAAGTCTTAGCTCTTTTGGTGAATATCTTGTTAAATTTTTGTACACCATAAGACATAAAATCAAGGATGCACAATCTAAACATTCAAAAAGGTAATTCAAAGATCTAACCTTTGAAAGACTATATCTCGTGAAAAAAATAAAAAAAAAAACTTAACACAGTTGGATATCACCCAAGAGATGGTCCAATTTTTTTGAATCACTCTGTATGTTAAAAATCGATACTCAATACTTACTGTCGTTGGTGGAGTAATACATAAACCATTTGATAAACATCAAGAGCACCATGTAAAAGAATAAGAAAACTAAAAATATGACTTGTGGGATAAACTCGCAGAAAATGCTAAGTTTGTTTTTGAAATACCTGCAACAACAAAGTTCAATTACAGTTCCCTGATTTATAGTCTGACTTACGTAAAATTAAAAAGACTCATTGAAACACCAAACAACATGTGTATGATACCTAAAATAATCGAAATTTTCATTTTAAACGAATTTTGAAAAATAATTTTATTTTTCGCAAGTTGCCAAACTGGATCTAATCCAATAGGATACGGATGATGAAGATAGTCTCCCTCAGCAGGATCCAACATAACATCATCTACTTTTAAAACATAATCTGCAGTTAAATTATTAACCACCCAATTTGATCCAAATATATTTAAAGACTTTGAAAAAACATCATTATAGATAAAACCAGTATACATGGAGAAAAGACCCATCAAAAGTACGATATAGCGTCCACCGAAGAAAATGTTCCAAATCTAAAACAGAAACTTGAAAAACAATTTATTTATTGCGAAAACTTTACTTCATTATCAGATTTTTTTGCTGCCAAAGGCTTCTCTTTAAGCACCATCCAAGCCCCAAATATTGCCATCAACAAACCGTGTCCCAAATCCCCAAACATCACAGCAAACAAAAACGGAAAAGTAATAATCGTATAGGGTGCAGGATTCATTTCTCTGTAGGAAGCAATCCCATAGGCATCAATCAGGGTTTGGAATCCTGTTGTAAACTTATTCGTGTGATTATAAGTCGGGGGATCTTCCATAGTTTCCATCCGATTCAAAATCGGGGGTACCGAGCTGCCACTCCTTTCGGTACCTCTCCGCAAAGCTAATTGAATATTTTCAAAATCGAGCACCGGAACCCAACATTCTGCTATCAAGCATTTTTGAGTAACGTCCAAATTGAACAAGTTCAGAGTATGATAAATCGCCTTGATTTTGCGAACTTTGACAAACCAATTTTTGATGTTTTTCGCGGCCGCGACTAGGACTCTATGTCGGTGGTCTTGAGTTTGCCCCAAAACCTGAAAAATTATAATTAAGGAAAAGTTTTACATTTGTGAGATATTACAGTATTGAGATCCTCGATTCGTGTCATGACCCCCATTGCCATTTCACGGCGGTCGCCGGGCGCTTCAGGACATGGATATAAAGTTGCGCGAAAACCTTCACAAATTTTTTTCACGCGTGTTTTTAATTGATCTCCTTGGAAAAAGATTATAAACACGGATTTATACACTTGGTCACCCTACAATGACGCTCATTTTTATTCTCAGATTCAACAAATTTGAGACTTACCGTCGACGGATCTTCAAGAGGCGTTTCGATTTCAGCTTGACGCAAAAAAACATTACCGCGACAAGCTCTCCATAGCATTCGTTCGAATGCTGGAATACGTTCTCGGAGAATAACACCGGCGACAAAACTACACGAGAAAAAAAAGAAAATCAGTCCTTGGAACTTCATATCGAACGACAATGAAAGCTCCTTTGACAGCAAAAACAAAACTGTTTTCAAATTTTGGTTTTTAACACAGTTTTGTTAAAAATTGTGTTGTTCTTACCAGCACATGATGTATTTTTCAATTACGTTTTTTCCCCAAAAAATTAGCCAATTATGGACAACACTAACGTTAGGCGATAATTAAAAAGCACAAAAAACAACATCGGTGCTTCAGACTAACACTAACTACACACAAGAAGCACAACAAAACTCAAAATTTAATCATGAAAAAATTAAATTTTGGTTTGTGTTACGCAATCTAAGGACAGGAAACAGAAGTACTGACCATGGGAAGAACTCCTCTGATTCAAATTGTTTTTCCGGAAAACTATTCAATAAAACTGTATTACTTAGAGTTTTTTGTTAAATTTCAATTGAATTGAAATAACAGAGACAAAAGGATTGTAATAAGTCGAAGGGAAATGTTTTTGAATTAATATTTTAGTCACAATTCCGAATTACTTACCATCACGATCACAAATGTTGTGCTATATAAAAATTTATTTGTACAATACGTTAGACCTTGAGTCATTTCAATGCAATCAATGATGAAAAACTACTTTACGGGAAAAAAATGGAATTCGGGTTGTGAATGTACGAGTCTAGTGTTGCCTACATGGAGAATGATTTCGTATAATGTGGAGGTGATACGTACCCCAACTGCACGGGGCCTAGGGTGCTTTGTCGGGCTATAGAGTCGTCACTAATGAGGGCCCTGGTCATAGACTCAGTGGGGTTTGCACCCCCCTCGTGCTGCTCAACAACACAACACATTAGCAAAACCCATCGCGCCGCCACAAATGATGTATCATGACCGTGTTTATGTCCAGAAACATCCCGAAATTTTTCAAAAAATTGCCAACCTTCAAATCGAAAGCGACCTTCATAGCCCATGAAGCGTGAAAGCAAGATAATAAGAAAAAAAAGACACGAATAAAAAGCTCGAAGGCTAAATTAAGTCGAAGACAGTAAACACAGTCATGTTATACAAAAATAAAATGATTTCAAAATAATATCAATACATTTAAGCCAAAACAAAGCCAAATACCCTTAAATTAACACCTAGCATGAACAACAAAATTTTTAACACTTATAAGATTAGAAGAAAAAAACAATAAGCTGTGCAGATGAAATGTGAGAAAGCTAAATGTGAACAAAACACCACCATGCCATATCAAAAATCGAATTAGTTGCGATCCACGTAAACAAACCAAAGAAAAATATGACCAGTCCTTATTATGCAAAAAATGTGTCAAGGATCGGTTAGTAAATGTGGATGTTAGTTTTTTTTTTTTTTCGATAAATTGATTTAGAGGCCTTTCTCGTGTCGTACGACAGGCCGGATTAATAATTATACGACACAGAGGAAAGCTTGCCTTAGTGTGGTCCGGAAGTTGACAGTAGTTTCTGCCATGAGGAAAAAGTGCTGTAAGAACAACCACATTTTTTTCTTGCCATACATTTTACCAAAAACAAATAAAAGTCATGCTGTGGACCACAAAAATTAAATAAAACACTTCATACAACAGGACTTTTATTTTGTAATTTATTATAAAAGTGAAGTTACCCCAGCTTAAGAGCTTGACCTCCAGCACGGAGGCCCTCTTCGCCTAGTAGGGTGACTTGTTCCTCCTCGCGAGACGGATCGGCCATCTGAGCAGAGGCGCCACGTTCAGCCTGGTGACACATTGCCCCTCTACTAATCACCTAACCTATCTCTACCAAAAAGACTAACCCCGGCTCCAAAATGCCCCTTTTTGCGGACATGACAAGACAAAATTTTAAGACAAATATTAGACATGGTTAGTTTTGAAGCAGCTAAACATGTAGAAAAAAGCAAATTCACAGAGTATTAGTTACGAAAACATTATGTAGAATGTTTATGTTTGGATTATTAATGCAAAATACAACGTCGGTGGTTTAAGCGAGATTATTAACAGTAAAAAATGTTTGTAATAATGACTGTGTATTTTTTGGATTTATTCTTTATAAATCTTAATCTTAAATAAGGTATATCAATCCTAAATTATCATTTTATCTCATTTTAGACAAATATGCAAGAATTAAATGATTAAATCATAAATCAAACAAAATAAGTAAGTAACTCGAAATTTTATTCTGTTACAAGTCAAGTGAAATATTGTTCCGGTATTTATTTTAGCGGTTGCAAAAAATTAGTAGTGCTGTATAATTTAGCCAAACAAACCGGCCATAAAATTTAACCAGGTTAATTAGTTCATCAGCCAATTAGTTAATCCAAATTAACCGGTTAAATCAATTAACTAGTTAATCGGTTAAAGTATTAATTGTAATTCAGAACCGTAAACTGAATTTCAGAAACCATCAGATGTAATTCAGATTAATTAATTTAACTTCAGAAAGCGTAAATTGAAATTCAGATTAGTCAATTGTATTTCAGAAAGTCTTAGTTATAATTCAGACTTTGTCATTTGTACTTCAGAATTCGTCAATTGTAATTCAGAACTCGTTATTTTCATTTAAAAATTACATTACCAAAATTCCTTTGAAAACAAAATATCTTATTTATTTTGCAAAATGGCAAGTTTATGTAATTCTTTAATTCTGAAAATAAAATAACACATGTTTATGTAAACTTCATTTTGAGATAACAGTAAGTTACTCATCTGAATTACAATTGATATTTTCTGGATTACATGTAACATGAAATTGAATTTATTTACTGTTCTGAATTACATGTAATGGTTTCTGAATTACAATTATTACTTTATGAAATACAATTGACTAATCTGAATTCCTATTTATGCTTTCTGAAATTAAATTAACTAATCTGAATTACATCTCATGGTTTCTGAAACTCATTTCACTCTTCTGAATTAACATTTTCTGAAAGACAATTGACTAATCTAAATTTCAATTTACGCTTTCTGAAACTAAATTGACTAATCTGAATTACATGTGATGGTTTCTGAATTACACTTGAAAAAGGTGTAGTTGGCTGATAAACTAATTAACCTGGTTAAATTTTATGGCAGGTTTGGTCGGCCAAATTGTACAGCACTAATATTTAGCAAACACAAAAGATCGCCTGCGATCCTGGCATCTTCAAAACGATTTTGTAAATTCAATTTTAGCACTTTTTACTTTACTACGTAAATTGTGAAAATAAGTTACATAAATAATGTAAAATTATGTAAATAAATCGTTGGGTTTCTCAATAATAAAAAATATAACAAAATGTGTTTGAACTTCAAACGCCGACTCTTATGATAACAAACAATAAGTATGAAGGTAAATAATTTAATATCAGATCCCACTTTAAGATAGTTTTTAATGTGATATAAATGACACACATAAAAATAAAAAATATGATTTAGCGTAATTTCAATTATAATTTTAAATCTTGACAGTTTCAGAGTCTATAAAAATCATATATTTTCTAGTAAAATAAAAACGACGTCGTTTCTTTTTGAGGGTGACTGGAAGTCGACCACGTATCAAACCACACGATAAACTCGATACTCAACTCCCATCGACGCTGCATTCTTAAATTAGTATAGATCAGTAGTGCCATGATAACTTCAAAATAAAACATGCAACTTAAAAAAATGTTGGAACCGTGCGGGTTAAGGTAGTGATGGATTATGGGATTAAGATCGATGTAATAAAAAGGATTTAAATATCAATAAATAAGTCACCTAGTTTAATGAAAAAAGATTAAAAATTATAAAAAGCAAGTCAATTTTAATTAAACGGATTAATTTTGATCGAAACGAACACGTCCTTTACACAACGCTTTATCGATAACGACAATCCCGAAGATTATAAAATTAAAGGAGAATGGCATATTGTAAATTTTTAGCGACAGCCAGTAATGACGTCACGAATCATATGCTTCTTACATCAGAGAAAGTTTGCAATGAAATCCTCAACTGAAAAATTAAGAAATTTTACTACAATGGAAACGATGCAATTATTTTTTCTTCCACAAGAATTTAATGAATGAAACAAAAATAAAATAATGTGCCAAGGTTACGTTTCAATTGTAAAAATAATGTTCAATGGAACTATTTTCAAGGATATGGTTAGCAATGGGGGCTTTATGTAACAAGGAACTCACTAATGTACTTACTGTATCTAAACTATTAGGTAAATAAAAAATAAATAATATAAAAGAGTGTTTAGTACTTTTAATCTACATATTTAGATGTTTTGCTCTAATATTTAAACCAAATTGGAATCATTAATTGACAAATTACATCATTGGGCCCCTTCGATTCACATTGAGGATTCGAATAAAAAGACAGTTTCCTCCACCTAAGCAAAGCAAAAAAATGTGCCGTCGGATATTTTCGGCAATGTGATACCAGGCTGTTTACAATTTAACTACAATAATTTACCCCCAAAATCGATAATCCTGAGCTAGAGACAGCTGAAATGTCTTACTTTGCACAAATGTTAGTAGTTCTTATAACAGTTAAATAAAATAATTCAAAAATATTCAACAAAAATACATAAATAATGGTTGCGAAACACAAGAATATTCAAATAAAATAAAATATATTAGTCTTAAGTTATTCAAAGACCAAACATGCATTTTTGAATGATGCTGCATTTAAAACTTGAAGGAGTAAAGGCAGATCAACCTTGACTGCATCTTCGTTAAATCACCTTTCTAGGAACAAGCATATTTATTACATATAATACAATAATTAAATATTTAGCTAAGAAGGAATAAAAGTAAACTTTAATATTTGCAATAAATTTCAACGGTTTTTATTTCGTGTCCTTGTCTTTCAGAAAAACTAAAAAGACATTACGCATACATACGTGGACAAATGACGCAACAAGAAAAGCAATGAACTGATAATAAACCTGTATGTTTTATTACAAGGGATTGTCTCTGATAATCAAATAGGTTCCAATAAATCTCCAAGAGATAATATTTATTCTATTTCGTATCTTGTATTTTTACTAACAATTGCGTTAACAGTATTGTCGGCTGTATTAATTACGCACTGATAAAGTAAAATGAAACAATCAATTTAAAAAATACATTACCAATGATTCATTAAAAATTTATGATGTTATTAAGAAGAAAACCATCAAATAAACCGTTGTATTTAGAATCTCCTCATGCAGAATTAGAAATACAGTCAATAGTTAAACCGCACAGAAAAAACTATGGGGAATACCACCTAATTTACAAATGAATAACTGAGTGACTTGATGCTAGTTTTAAGTGCAGCATTATAGCATTCAATAAAATTAAACCCAGTCAGTTGTTTTTTAAGAATTGATGCATTTTCATAACATTGACATTCAAAATGAATATCACAGTATGATAGGTAAATAAAATTTGTTAGTCAGCTTGTTTCACAATTGTTTGCACTTGCCATGAAACAAATTGACTAGTTCGCAATGTTAATAACAAATTTGAAAAAATCATGCTAGGTGAGCCAAATTGGACTGGCAAAAATTTCAGACTAACCTCGTCGAAGAACACCTGCGTTTTCCTTAGTATTTGTTTGAGTTCAGTGAGTTCCAGAAAGTTTCTTTTGAGTGCTTCAGCATTCTGGTTGACTTCCCTCAATTCATTTTCGAGTTTTTCAAAAGTGGCCTAATAATGAAACGTTGACTTTATTGTAATTCAAGCGAGTTAACAAACCTCGAGATCGATCATTTCTCTTGGTTGGGGAGCTTCCGGGTTTTCGCCCGTGTCCAACATGGGAATCCCATCCTTCTTGATTTCTTTCTCCAAGTAACGGAGTTTCCTTTCCATTTCGTCGCATCGGCGGACCTCATTGACGAACTTTCTTTGAAATACGTTGACGTCAGGATTCAGCTGGTGACAGCACACAACAATTAGATGTTTGTTTCGTGAGAATAGTAACGACAGAAAGGTTGATCTACTACTGGACGTGGAAAAATACCGATTTATTTTTAACTTACATCTCTGAATTGTACTAGACCGAGTTCGCCCAATTCGGAGACACAAGCATATGCGGCCTCACTTTGTAAGAAAAGCTGACATAGGGTCATTTCCGCGCTTCGGAATAACGATGCCATTTTGGGATATGCTCAAAAAAAAATCTTCACTTTAAATTAATAAACCAACACTATTTTTTCTAATTACATTACACTACTGTGCGCACACCTCTACCACGATCGATAGAGCAACTCGGGTCTCGGGTCGGATTTCGGAATGAATAAAATCATAATGTCAGAAAGTGATCAGACATATCGCGCGCAACTAGCCTGCAAAATACTGAAACCGAGAAGTTCAGTAATAGAAAATTTTATTATTTTTATTAATATGACTCAGAAAAATCGCATTTTGGCAATCAAAATTTAGCATTTTAGGGAAAATAGCATTTTATTGCAAATTAGCTTTATTAACAATTTTTTTCTAAAACAATGGTATAATCCATTTCATTGAAATTGGCATAACAGTAGGCCATGATTGTGTAAACCGCGCTTTAAATGTGAAAAAGGTTTAAATATTAAGGAACTAAATTTGTCACTATAAAAAGTGAGGTTAAGATAGTTAAAATTTTATTTTTAAAGAACCCTTTTTCAGAAGTTTTCAGAGAGTTTTTTCGATAAAAAGTTTAACATCCTGTTTCATCCCTTTGTAGGTGTAGTTTTAACACTAAAAACATACACTATTTGCTTTGTAGAAAATACAGACTTCGTTGATAATAAGTGGCTTCCAGANTTTGTAGAAAATACAGACTTCGTTGATAAGTGGCTTCCAGAAATTTTAAAAGACGTTTTATTCACACCGGAGATAAAACACAATTTGTTTTCCGTGTAAGTTGCATCCGAAAGGGGTTTSGATTTTGTCATTAAAAATGTAGGACAAAATTTTGAATTTTTAAACAATGGTAAAGTTGTTGCGATCGGAGGGGAAAAAAGAAATCTGTACAAAATGAAGCTTCGCGTACTGCAGCCTGAAAAATGGTGTTTTGCCCTGGATAAAGTAATTTGGCTTAATTCAAATTGGTATAGTTGATTCCATTAACCTAAAATTCCTAAAACAGGAATAACAAAAAGAAGTTCATTATGTTTTCAAACATACCTTAGCGAGTACTTTAAATCTGAAGAGAACTAGTTTTAGTTAAAATTTGAAAAAGTAGTGGGAATAACGAACAAACAACGAAAACACTGAAAAAACGAATACAAATGTCAGTCATGTCAGTTCAATAAACCATGTAGGTAAGTAATCAAAGAAAAACAAAAACCCCATCAGCTGTTATAACAGGAACATGTGCAGGGCTACAAACTTAAATACGAAATTCCATAGCCACCTATTATGCCAATTTAAATGAAATCTACTTTATGTTATACAGACTGAATATAAAGTATGGAACCAAGCGGTTTTAGTTTTAATCATTTGCCTCCAGAAAATAATAATTAATATAAATTAAAGTAATATAAAAAATGTGATGGTATTTTTAGAACGAAATTTTGTTTTGTTTTTGAGTTATGCGATTTTTTTGTCAAAATTGCAATTTATGTAAAAAAAATTTTTTGAAAAAATTAAATATAAAGCGGATAGTTGTAATCCTTAGGGTATAGCTTTTATGAGAAAAATGATTTTATAGTGGGTTGCCATTTAAAAAAAATATTTTTTTTGTAGAACTCAAAAACAAAAGGAAATTTCGAAAAATTTTATTGTTGTTAAATCATCACATTTTTATAGTACTTTATCACTCATCAATTAGTTTTTTCAAAAAATAAATAGTTTAAGCAAAAAACGTTTAGTTCCATACTTTTTATTCACCTGGTATACACTTTAGAATCTATTAATATCTGTTATTTGATAAGGGATTTTTTTGAAATTTGAAATTTAAAATGTAGACAACTTAGAAGGTGGAGACTCAATTAGTACTAATAAAATTACCTCAAGATAAAAACCATAATTTTAACACGTATTTTCTGAATTTAAAATTAAGCCAAACTTTTAACATTTTGCTTATTTTGCTAAACAATAAAAAATAGATCTCAACACAAAAAAATAATTGAATCACTTGTCTGAATCAGTAGAAATACGTCGATTATGTTGTTAAAATGTTAACCTAATTTTTGAATGAATTTTATCAAAGTTAATGACTCCAAAACAATTTAACGTCTCTAAGTACCGTTTTGTAGTACAAAATGGCATACAGGTGATTTTGAGGTATGTGCAAATATTTTAACAGGTGATAGTAGAGCTCAAAAAAGTCAAAATAACTCAACACAAATAAGTATGTATAGTCGAACAAAATGAAAATGACGCCTCAATAAACCAGCCCCTGCTGGATGCCGACCCTTCTAACCGCAAGCAGGCAGGGTCGTAAATCATCGGATTGTTAACTTGACGTAGTTTCAAGATAAATTCCTTTAGGAGCCGGTTTACAGAAAACGAAATGAAAATTTAAATCAGAATTAAACTAATTCGAATTAAGTTGCCATTTATTTTGCATTGACAAAGGTCAAGTTAAATAAAAATGTAATTTTTTTAATGATAAATTTAACAAACCATTTCTTGAAGAAAACTATGCATTAATTAAACATTGACGAAAAAACAAATCATTATTTTATAATTTTTTTAAACTGTTTTTCAAAATAAAATTATTTTATAAATCAATTAAAATAAAAAGTGATCCACAATGACTGAATATGTTGGCAATCTTGACAGTTTATCAAAAAAATGTATTACATTAATAATAATTTGTTTTTTTGTAAATTGTTAATTTCATCTTATTAATGCATAATTTTCTTTAACAAATGGTTTTTGTTAAATTGTATATTTATAAAACTAAACATTTTTATTTAATTTAAAAGTATTACAATTAACAAAAAATAAATTTTGTAGCGGAACTAAAATATTTAAAATAATATTTACGTTTTTTTCGTGGTATAATTAAATAAATAATTTTGATTTGTTTTCAATGACAATTACAAAACTAATAGAAAACTTAGGGCCGGTTTACAGAACATGTTAATCGCAATTATATTTTAATTCGCGATTAATTTGAAGTTTGTCAATGCAAAATAAATGGCAACTTAATTCGAATTACCTAGTTTAATTCTGAAGTAAATTTTAATTTCACTTTATGCCCAAAGAATTAAACCACTCGCGGTAAAGGTACACGTGGAATTAAACCTTCTTTTCACAAATAAACAATGGTTTAATTCATTTGTTGTTTTACATAAAATCAAATTTAAAATAGAAAAAGCCTATTTCGTTCAAACATTATGTTAATTAATTTTACTTTGAAAAAACAGTTACTATGATGTCTGAAGTTAGTTCTTCAAAATCCATAAAATTGTTAAAATCAGCAAAAACAGGCACAGAGGGTCTTCATCTAAAGAAAATCATAAAACGGTGAAAATTTTGGATAATTCTTTTATTGAAGATATCATCCAATTTCATTACCTCAAATGCTACTGACTATAACACTAGCAATGTAAAGTTTGAGATAAAGTACTCAAAAGGTTTAAAATTCGTCAAACATTCGGATACGGCAAATTGAATTATATTGACTTCTTTTGAGGTCTACTATCGCCTGTTAAAGTACGTATTTGCATATACCTCAAAAGCACTCTCAGTAGCGGATTGAGTTTACAAGACGAAAAAAAAATTAGCTTTTATTTTCCGCCAAAACTGCAAAGGAAAAACATTTTATAAAAGTGTCAAAATAATAAAGCCGCCAATATGATAGGACTTAAAAATCAGAGAAAAAAGTACAAAATCAAGAGAAAAATAAACTTTTCTTTCTGAGTTAGAATAATTAATTATTACAGATTTGTTCATTTCAGGTAAAGCAAAAAATGTTTTTCCTTTGCAGTTTTGGCGTAAAATAAAAGATAATTTTTTTTCGTCTTGTAAACTCAATCCGCTACTGAGAGTGATTTTGAGGTATGTGCAAATACATACTTTACCAGGCGATAGTAGACCTCAAAAGAAGTCAATATAACTCAACTTGCCATATCCGAATGTTTGACGAATGTTAAACCTTTTACTCAAAAAAAAGTACTCACTTTATCTCAAACTTTGCATTGCTAGTAGTCGGTAGCATTTGATGTAGTGAAATTGGATGAAATCTTCAATAAAAAATGATCCAAAATTTTTACCGTTGTATGATTTCTTTTTAGATGAAGACACTTTTTTCTGTGCCTGTTTTTATTATCTTTGATATTTTTTTTCCTCTTGTAAACTTAATCCGAGGACATACTTGTATAAATCCGTCAAATGTCATCAATTTTAACTGTCAAATATAATAATAAATTCAATTTAAAAAACGTTCACTAAAAAATACCTAATATAAAAAACACGTGTTACAACTTCTCGCCACGTGCCTCGTGTCACAAACTACTTGTAATATATTTAAATGATTGAGTGTTTGTAACACTTCTTTTTAACAGATAGACAATTTTTGAATTTTATTGTTTCTACCGTGATCATGGTCACAGGAATCGTGGTTTTCTACTCTAAAATGTCTAAAGTAACTGACCAACTGACACATGGTTGACATCATCTGACTGATCACAATCGAATAAGTCCATAATAATCAAAATTTCTGTAGCATGTCTTAAAATTCTCAGTAAAGTTATTTGTAATCATAAAGCAAGGATCAAGCTATCCCTATCTTAGAATGGATGGATGTTTCAAACGGCCACGAAAAAGAAAAACTGAAAATTGTGGAAAATATAGAGACCTTATATTTCGTTTACAATCAGCAAAAAGCAAACTATCACCCATAGTGGACGAAATTGTTGTGTCAGCGTTAGATTTAATGCAAAAAGACGATGATCATTTCGTGAGTGAATGCACTCTCACTCCAAACCAATATCAAGATGTAATTTGGGCCTCTCAGATGTTACGAGAGATAGAATATGATAGAATGACCCATAAAAACTATTACTTACCCAATACTCATTTAATAGTGAACCATGTAAGTGTGGAAAACGTCCAAAACAATAAGGATAAGTCCGTCGTTATAGATGAAGCAACAGTAGTAGAACTATTGCAGCTTTACGATCAAATGGGTGTTATTATACAAAGAATGTTGAATAGCGAACCAACCGTTGCTTCGGATATTGCTATAAATTCCAAAATGTCTCAGATATCAACTAATGAAAGTCGATCAGAATGTCGATGTGATACTACTATGCCCGCATCTACGACTACCACGGAATATAATGAAGTCGATTCTTTAACTTCAGAAAAAAGTGCACTAAAGCCTTGTATCAAATCGACATGCCCGGCTTTCAAAAAGAGTTAGAAACCCAAAACTAACGTAACGTAACATTACTGACAATAAGGTTTTACAGGTTCTTCTGGCAAAGAAAGTTCTGAGGCCTCAGAAAGAAAAAGTGTATCCATAAATGAGTATGTAGACACTAAAGTTTGCGATGATCCTACCATCTACATCAAAATTCAGTGCTGTACTGATTGCTCAGAAACTGGAGAAACTGAAATGAATCCAAAAACTAGTCAAATTAAATGCTCTTCTAACATTTGCGAATCTCACTGCCACATTAAACTGGATGGAGAACCAGTCACTTTGAAAATTAATCAGGTGATTTTTTTTCAAAATGGAAAAGTTTTTATAGTTATATTTCAGTGCAATGGTAATGAAGACCCACTTTATTGTATAAACGCCCGAAGCGACGATGACGACGACATAAAAATTGTGATAAAACAGTGTCCCGATTGTAAATCAACTGTTATCGGTTCCTCTACAAAAATCGAAAACACTCCAGATTCACACGAGTCGATTACAATCCATGGAACACTAGAAGTTGATGAAACAAATATGGAATATTCGTCTTCTGACGATTCTAGTAAACCAACAGCGACAGGTAAAGAATGCCAATGCAAAGAACAAAAATTGTGTATAGATCTCGCCAAGCTTAAAGAGTTAATGAAATGTTCATGTGATGAACCCAAATCTCCAAAAATGGATGTGATTATTGATTCAGACAATGTAGAAAAATCGGAAGTTAAAGTTGTACCATTGATGAGACGACGAGTTTGTTCGTCAATGGAATTCGATGTTTCAACTGTTCAAACCCGACTCCGAGAAAAGGAAATTGAGCACAAGAACGCTCACATTGTTTTAGAGTTAAAACAACTAGGAGTTGATCAAATTTTAAGAGCCAGCAAACCAGCCAAATGCTGTCGCAAAGCCATTCTCAACGAAAGACAAAGAACAGCATTACCTTACTGTGTTAGCTTGAGATCATTGCCACTTATGGGCAACGACGCTGAAGTCATCAAACAATCAGTTGACATGAGTGTTAGAAAAATAAAAAATGCGATTGACCTTAACCAAGCTTATAAAGACAAACTGGCGTATTATGTCAATTTGGGAAAAGATGATTTCAAACATAATCAAACACCATGGGTGGTGCCACTCTACGAAATGGATTTAACCAAAAGTGAGAGTGCAATTTACGAAAAAGGCCGATTTTACGTGTTGAAGAAAGAAGAAATAGTTTCTAAGCAAGTGGAGTCTGCGGCTACATTACTACGAATCGATAGTAAACTCCGACGGAAGGATTCATTTAGAGCAAAAGATTTAAGTTACACTACCAAAAATCGATGCTTTGTTTTAAGAAAACCAAATTTGAGTCGAAGAATAGAATGGAATGAATCAAGGTCTTCAGTTTTGAGCAGGAGAATTAAGAGAAAGCGTATAAAAAGACGTATGGAATTAAAATTCAGAAACTGTATACCAAAAAAAAGACGAATTTGGAGAACTAATATTGATAAATTTGTTTTTCCCCACCACAAAGAACTTGAATTTAAATCCGTTGATATGCATTTTCATGAAACTGAAACTACTGAAATAAGTAGATTTCCTTCTTTTGCTAAATGTTTCAATAGTGAATCAGATATTGCCCATTTGAATGCTTTCCCCTGTTTTAACATTTGCAATTTTGACAATAAGCACAAAAACTCTTCAAAACCAATTTTTTTTAAAAATAATGGGATTGGAGATTGTTCTTTAAGCAGGTTGATGGGTAAGAATTCAAAATTTTTTACTCAATTTATTTTTCTTTTATCGCTAGATTTTTATTTCATAAATAAACCCAAAAAATTTAAAAAACGTTTCTCAAAAATATTTCACAAGAAAAATCATACGAGTCCTACATTGCCAACTGCATCGCGAAATCGCAATACAAAGAAAACTATATTTGATGCTCCTAATACGCTTACATATTTTGTTGAAAAAACAAATAGTGAAGAACATTTTGATCATAAAGTAAGTAACTGAGTTTAAAATTTTTAACTTGAAAAACTTCCATTTTAGTCAAATTTTATCCCACAGTTAGAAAAAAAGAAATTAAATGGTGTCGGTAGATTTAAAGCTGCGAACAATAAGAAAAAAACAGTTTTAGAATACTACGTGAGTTTAGTAAAGGGTGATCTAGTTTGGAGTAACACACTTCCACTAGTTCCACCAGACTATAATGCCTTTTACAATCATGCAAGTGAACATAAAAAAGTTCCTATAGAAGAACCTATGATAGCTACTCGAGTTTCGCGCGAAGAATCAAGCCGAGAACCAACAAGATCACCTTCAAGAAGCAGCAGGAGAAATTCTGGTTCTGTTTCTAAACGCAGACGTAACACATTATCTCAAGTAGATGTTACTCAAGATAATGCGCCTCCAAAAGCCGTTACGATGTCTCCAGAACTACACCAAGTCCATGATGCACCAGAATCAATAGATGAATCTTGGTTCCCTCATGTAGTCAGCGAAACTTCATTGCCGAAAATTTACGAGAAATATGAAAAGACAGAAGTCGAAAAAGTGGAAGCACAAAAAGTAGAGCCGAGAGATGATCCAGAAGAACCTGAAGAATCTGCACAACCACAAGAACCACCAGAAACGCCAAAAAAAGTTATAAGCAAATGTTCGTCGAAACAAGTGTGTATAAAACATGAATGTAAGGGTAGTTGCAAGACAAAGCCATGTTCATCGTCTACTCCTTCTTCTCCTTCTAAAAAGGCCGGTCCGGGAGATATTACGATTGCTATTAAAAAGAAACGAAACGGAATAGTGGTCGAAGGAATAGCACCAGTGACTTGCAATAAGGAAGTTTGTGAAATCTACAAAAACAAAAATTTGGCACCCGCTGATTCAGAAAAACAAAAAAAAGCAAGTTCGTCAGCGAAGTCCCCGAAAGAGAAAAGGTTTAAAGTTGTAGCGAAAGACAACGTAGAAATAATAATAAATAATAACACAGTTTCTGTGGCAAATAGCGATAAAAAGAAAAAGTAAAGAGACGCAAGAAATCTGTGTTCTCTGATTGTGCGTACACGATTTTATGTCATAAATAAATGTTTTTAAAATTCATGTTACATACTATACTTAATTTTATAACGTCGCGTCGCTCCGTTTATGTGTTGGTTGCCTGAGAAAATTTTTATAGGATTTTATAATGCCCTGAGTTTTATTTTTATGATTTGCCTCATTTTCACGTGTTTGGGGATGAAATCGGGAAAAATAAGCAAATGTGAGCTCTAGTTTTATTCAATATATGTTGAAAACATACAACAAAAACATGTTTGATGTACAAAGGTAAACAACTCCAATTTAAACTCAAGACATGTTTTTGCTTACTAGACTTTCAGTTGAAGTAATAAATTAAATTGCCAAAGTTTTAAACAATATTGGCATATTGGAAATTCTGCAAAATAATAATAATAAACGAGTTGTCAGTTCGTAATAGTACCCTCATTATGTACATAGTACCATTTGCTTACATACAAAGAAATTACTCTAAATGTAATTTTTCTAAGTCTATTAAAAATAATGCTTCGTAAATATATTAATCTAGAGTAATAATTAAAGTGGACATCAAAATCACATAAATAATTTCTAAATTTAACAATTATTACAGTAGGTAATTATCTAATACATAAATGCATATTATGTATGTCTTCAGACGGCACAAACATGAAGCTGTGGAATATCAGATCACTATTTCTACCTAAAGATAATAGCAGAAACACAGTAGGTAAAATAACGTACATACACATGCTAACCTGAATATTATATTAAGTAACATAACTGGTGAGAGAGTATTTATTTGAAATAAATCACTGTTATTTACAACAATAAACTTTAAGAAACTTAACTAAACTTAAAAATAAAAGTACTGTCACTCTTTAACCAATTGTTAGTCCTTAATGAAAGTAATGGCAACTGTGGAATATATAAGAAAATATTAGTCTTAATTATGCAACAATACAATATTGCCTACTACACTTTACCCGCGACAAGGTATACTATATAAAAATCAAAATCATTCATTATATTATACACCGACTCTTATAGGAAGTTCTTTGTTTAACATTATAAAAAATACAAAAGCCACATAAAAAAAGTCAAAGTAAAGAGGCAATAATAGTGTAGATGACGCTAAATTACGCTCTAGTAGTCCCCTGGATGGTCTGCGCTTCCTTCAATGTCTTGCTCGACATCGTCACCATCCTCATCGTCACTAGCGTCATCAGCGCTCGTTTGCTTTGAGACTCCGTTTGATTTATTTATTAGGACCTCTGCAGAAAATTTAATATTTAATCAACCTTTCTCACGTTTTCTACTTACCGCAATTAGGTTTCGCATGGGTACGTGTATTTGCAAACTCGACACCATGCTTGTCAACGCACCAGCACATGCCGATGGCACTATGGCACTGCGTCGGTCGGTAGTAACCCTGACTATCGCAATCGGGCACGTACACCCCTAAAAATCTCAAAAAATTATCTCTGAACTCTTCAATCGATATAAAAGTACCTAACAGTTCTGGCGTTATTTTACGCTTGACGGCGGCACAAGGCCTTTCAGTTCTTTGAAAACAGCGACACCATTCTAATGGTGTAACTGTGACGTCCCGATCGATGTCACATTGCTGCAAGAAGGGTTTCAAACACACTTCACTTTGGTCGTGTTCTAAGTCGTAGAGTTCTTGCAAGGAGAGTTTGGAGTCGGAGTTGGAGTCGAGGTGTTGGAACATCCACCTCACTTCACCCTTGCAAGCGGATGGAAAATGAGCTGAAATGATTGATTCAAAACAGGGTTGTTTGTAGTGTTTGCCTTACCCTTTGACTTGTTCCGCGGCCTTCGTCGTTTTGATGAATCTGCCATAACAACAGAAAACCAGTCGAGCAAACGATTACCCATTGCTTGGAGTGCAGCTGAAGAACATTGTTTTGAAGGAGAAATGGCAGGGTCAAGTACCCCGATTGAGTTACTGTAAAGTTTGTTGTCAGTAACTTCATTATAGCCACGTAGACGGTCTTTGTCCTCCGCGTATAAAAGATTGTTATTGTCCTGCTTAAATATGGAGGATGCTGAATATTTAACATAAAACACCAACCGCTTACCTTGTTGTACTTTGTATATTTAATGTACTTGTAATGTTTATTTTCGTATTTAAAGTCTTGGGGGGTGAATGTATATACATCGGATTTAGAAGACGGTTGCGCAGGCTTTGCACCATTAATGGATCCACCAACAGTTCCACTTTTATCCAAAGTAGCTTTATACTTATTCATGAACGAATTCAATCGTTCCGATTGTCGCTGCTTTTTCCGAAGATGTGCCTCATTTTCTAAAAGAGACAATCTTTGAAAAGTGGAATAATTACTTTTATTTTTACCTTTGCAAGGACAAAATCCTTTACACGTTACTCTGATCGATGTATGGTGGATACAATTATGGTAATCTAATCTACACAAGGAACTGTATGTTCTATTATCAGAACCACATAAGAACGTTGGTTTGACCACTGGACATGGCTTACATCTGGAATTACTGACAGTTAGTAAGAAAAATCTTAAAACGGCTTGACAACTCACACTACTGAGTCGTTTAAATCCTCATCCGCGTCATCGGGGTCGTCCTCAGTGTCGTAAAAAACGTCATCATCGTCATCGTCTTCATTTTTCGATTCTTCAGTTTTTACGGTCGATTTAGGAACGACTATATCACTAAAACAAAAGATATAACGAGTTTATTAATTTTTCCGAGTCGTAATGATATGCAAGAGACCCATTCGGAAACTTTTTGTCTTCGAGAAACTTTTAACTACAAGAAACTTCGCAGTATACACACCCCCAAGTTTCGAAATACTTAGAATCTTGATAGAGATATTCTCGAAGGCATGATGGCGGCAACTCATCAACGATGGAATGTTTGTCCTCCTGTTCGTGTAAACAGTGTGTAACAGTAAATTGTCAGGGGATACAAATTGATTTTTCGGTTTTTATTGTGGTTCCAATAAATTCAGTTTCGTGGCGTTAAAACAGTTACACGTTTTAAAATTCTCCCTTTGGAGGTTTTTTAACTAACTTTGTAAATTCCAGGTTTTGTTTGGATTACCAATTATTCCACAACGCTGATCGCAAAAGTGTTTTAAATTTTCGACAATTTCATTATTTTAACGTCAGCAAAATAATTTCAAAATCTGGGATATTATAAATTTATAGCCATCGTGTGCACGACCTTATAATCGAAAAGCTTATGTTTCTAATTTTGTTACTGGTTTAACTCTTGCAATTTTGTATGGACGATAAAAAAGATAAACGGTTGTTTGCAACGAGTTCACACACGATTAAACCGCCGTGGACTAGCCATACAGAAATTGGACATAATGACGTTTTTTTCAGCAAATAACTAACGTCGAATTTGTTACTTTTAAGATTGTGATTCCAATAATCTAAAAATCTTTCGGTTGAGAATTGTTTAAGCGAGCTTTAAATTTTAGAGAAATCGTGATAAAAGCAAGCAGTTGTGTGAACTGTATTTTTCCCTTGTCGTTTGGTTTCAATTAGACTAGTGGACGTACCAGCCTTTTAGTGGATTAAATTTAGAATGGAAATTCATATTAAATGAAATTTTATAAAGTGACTGATAAATGTAGTTGCTGGAGAAGATCATCAATAGTTGAGTAACACGATTGGCATCATAGTTGTAATAAATTGTATTGAGGGTAATTTTCTTTAAGTAAAATAATTGATACTCTGTGGAGGTCACTCTGGTCAGGCTAATTCAACGCCTTTTTGGTTGAGAGAACAGGCTGAAAGGTCAAGGGCTATTCACCTAAAAGCTTATCGTTTTCTTGTTGATAACAATCAAGCTTGGTGATACGGTGTGATTAATGACTTATTTTATTGTTAGAGACATAATTTTGTAGCAAATTTTGTCTTTGTCAAAGGTAGACTTTTGTTGTGTTTTCGGAAACAAAGAAGTGTGATCAATGACGAAGATGACAAATGAAACTTTGAACAATGAGATAAATGAGAAAAAAATTCAAACAAAAGGCGACGATATCATTCAAGATTCATACTCACCCGTTCTTTTTCAGTTCTTTTCTCGATACGCACACCGCTGTAAATGAATCTTCCAACAAGCAGATTTCCTTCTTTTTGCAATTTAATGGCCTGCAGAGATCACCTGAAAAATACATTAAGCATTTTAGATTGGTTGAATCGAGTTCTGAAAACTTTTCAATAAATTCCCTATTGGATGAACAGTTATCGGAAACTATGACGGGAAGTTATCGGGCAATTTTTTGTCTTACTGTTTCCAGATAGGGGAGTTATCTTGACGTTCCTACTTCGCCCGTTTCCCTCTGTAAATCCCCATATTAACCAAAAATCAATAGAGAAAATGACTTTAAGTAAAAGTTTAGTTCTTCCAATCTCATTTGTAATATTGAATGATTTAATTTTAATAAGCCTTATTTCTGTTGAAACTTTCGCAAGTCGTTGCAACGATCCCTCAACCAATTAAAAGCAAATTCAGACAGTATTTAAAAGAGCTTTAGGGGCCGCTTTCTCGTTTTCCATGTAATTCACTCTTGCCGAATTCGCTGCAAAAACTTTTACTTTGACAAATTCCCTCAGATCTATTCCACACCTTTACCCCATCAAAACCCAACTCATTAAACCCATTACCACAACAGAATTCATTGAAAAAAATAACATTCTCATGAATAATCATGATTATTTATTACAGCGGTCCCCAATTTATGGAGGACTCTATTAATTTCCGAAAAAATATAGCTTTTCACCTAATCAATGCCCAGATTAGTAACACAAACAAAAGTTTACGGGGCTTATTTCGATTTGCCTGAAAGGTGAATTCTCTCTCACCCATACGTCCGATGCGGTGGAGTTTGAACCGCAACAAAGTTCCAACGAACCCTCGTTATTCCTCTTTTCTCTATTTTTTGCTTATTTCCCTTTACATTCCTTTGTTCTGATCCCGGCAAGTACCGCGGGGCGAAAAACAATTACCTTTAAACTTGTCGGTTGAATAATCAAAAATATGACAAGCGTGATGTGTCGGATAAAATTAATGAAATCTGAGACTACAATTACCGACACATTGTTTGCTTTATTATTATTTTAATTAATAGCTTTTTCATTAGACAAATTAATGCTTTGTTTTGACAACTCTTAATATTAAAGTTAAATCAATCAACTGAGGGATAATTTCATTACTCTCGTCATTATTTGCACTACCTGTACTAACTCGAATTGAGTGTTGTTATTAAAGGACGAACTAATTTATGAAACTGCTGACCCGATCGTAATTGAAAAATATGAAAAAGAGAAGCGAAGAAACTTGAAAACTCTTAATAATTGCTCGAAAGAGTGAATAATTTACTTCTAGTCCATAAGAAAAAATACTTAAATTAGTGAGCAGAGAACTTTTTCATCCGCCCTTCCAACCACATAGATCAAAGACGAACATAATTTGTGTCGGGGTTTAAATTAAACTTAGCAGGGTGCATAAAATTATTTTACCTTTTTGAAACACATTACTGTACGTTGATCCTTAAATCAAAAAAATCTCTACTTTTTGCACATTTATTTTGACGGACTCATTCATCATAATCCACTGCTTTCTATTTTATTCACCATTCGATTTAATGGTCTTTCACAAATTAATTGCTTCCAAAAAACGAAGTATGCAAATCCAGGAACAAAATTCCGACGCTAAAAATTGCTCAATTCAAATAAACCTAATTTTGAAAAAATTGTTGAATTGTGTTTAATATAATCCATATACAGGTCGCTAAAAAGTATGGATACAGCTAAATATTTTCAGAACGGTTTAGCAGAGCACGTTGAAATTTCGGAAACAGTTTACTTATTTTTTGGTCAAAATTCAGGCGGCAAAGGGCTAACAATAGAGATAACAAAACGATCAGAGATAAAAGTTTGATAAATATCTGAGGCGATAGAATTTAAATACTTTTAAGCATATACCAAATTTCAATAAGTTTTAATGAATAGTTTTAATAATATTTAACTGTAGGTATCTATACTTTTTAGCGACCCTATACATATAATCCATGAAACTAATCAATGCTTTAAATTTTTAACTTTTAATCCCGTCCTGCAGTTCGCGACCAACATTTTTGCATTTTTCTCGAGCTGCCCTTTTTACAACAGCTCCCTTTTTACAACACATCGAATTTTGAAATATCAAAAGTAACAAAACTGACGCAGTTGTTCGTAAGACATTTTGGTAATTAGGTTTAACTAGTTACTAAAGCTCAAATTCAGAATAAGTTATTTTAATAAAATCAAATTATTTATGTTTTATTTACAAAAATTTAATTAAGATTGACTGGGAGCTGGAATTATTAAAAAGACTTTCCAATGTACCGTTTACTTTCCTTTCTCGTTCCCACATTTTATTTATTAGATCAATACATTCCTCGTTTTTCGTGACAAATAAAAGCAAAAAATAGCGTTTGTGTGACGAAAAATACGTTTAACCTTCGACTTTTTAATGATCTCTGTAATTTACTTTGTCTATTTGCGGCTCAAGACTCAATCAGATGTTATCACTTTGTGAGTTCAGTAAATTAAACAAAGAATAACATGGGTTTAGTTTTTAAACGTGTAAGACAGTATCAAATTGATTAAAGATGAAAACAGTAATCTAACGATGAATAAACACACCACTAAACGAATAATCCATATTAATGTGACATGTCATTAAAGTACACATAAACTAGAATAAACAGCATTCACACAGTACTTATATTAATCATTTTAATTCGATGTAATAGTTACCTCCTCATGCAAAACGATATAAATTACGCCCAAGAGCCACAATATTAATGTTATCTTATGAAAGATTCGTCATTTCGTCCCGACATAAGCAAAATTTATAGTCGCAAAAAAGAGATACTTCAATTTAGTGACAGGACTTGGTGAATTTTATTTCGAAAAGATCCATCAAGATTGCGGGTGGTATTAGATGTTATGGTTCCGAAAGATTGGAACAAAAAGTTTTTTCCACTTCATTCGGTAGAGTATTGAAACAAGATTGAATGAATGGTTCCATATACATATTTTTATAAAACTTCTCAACCCACCTGATCCGAAGCTAAATTTCATTCTTATCCTAAAATGCAACAACATAAATTTGGAACATAATTTGAACTAATTTGCACTTGAAATTTTATGACTGTCCTTTATCATCCGCGAGCTCCATTTGAATTCCAATTGTAACAAGCAAATGAACTTGCAAATGGAATTAGAGGTCAATGTTTCGATCCATGCTAGGGAAGCAAATATGTAAAATAATGTTTCGGAAGTTTGTGAAAGAATAAAACGACGCTTTCTGCGAGCCAACAAAGCTTTATTAAGCTAGTAAAATCTTAATTTCAAACAGAAGTTCTTATAAAGTTGGTATTTGTTTTCCTGTTTAGTAAAATAACCGTTCTGTTGACAGACTCAACAATCGCTTCAGCTCCGAAATCCACAAAATCTGTTTAATACTCATTGTCGCAAATTCCATAATAGCGAATGTCTTGAGTAACTAAACCTTTATACCGCAATGACCCGTTTGCCAATTTAGTGAAATCAATACGGGGTGAATTTAACGTGTATTGTTATGTAAGCAGTGGCAATTAAGACAACAATAACCATAACCAATTTGTACAAATAACGTTGTAGCTATATTTCCAAAACATAACAGGCAATATCGTTTGTACGTCACGTTAAAACGAAATACAACTAGGAATACTAATTAGCAATTCTGCTTATCGCTTTGAAATTGATGAGCCGGTGGTAAGAGAGCTCAAATTCACAAGACGAGCGAGAAAATAAGCTCTTGAAACTTACACCAAACACAACGCAAATAATAAAACGAGAATTCGGCTCTAAAACAGGTACTCCACTTGGAGCTTGACGGTTTGAGAAGAACGTGATTATATTTTATTAATTTTAATTTCTAAGGATCAGCTAGAATATTTTCTAATGTCTGGGGAAGTGTGACGAGGAACATTACTATTCAAAGAGAAGACGTGGGATGAAAGCAATTATTTCCTCTCATTCCTCTGCAAAATTATTCCAGTGTCAACGACAAGTTAAATCATTTTGACAATTATTGCTAGCCAACACCCTTAAAAAAATGACTCTTGCTTTAAAAGAAAAACTTTTCCTACGAATTCGTGTCAGCGTAATGTAAATTTAAACAAAAAAACTTTGAAAGAACTTCATTACGTAAAGATGTAACCGGGACACACAACTTTTATGGCGAAACTTTTATAATGAAAGCTTGGACCGTATTGAAGATCACATACTAAAATTAATACTATTATTTTTAACCAACATTTGCTTTCATATATTACATATCATTTTTTTATTTCTCTGATATTAATAATACGCTTTCAGCTTCCTTCATAAGCTATAAAAGTGCTCTTCTTTTACCACATAGCCTTTTTATGAAATCCTAATTTTTTTCATGTTTTCGTTTCTGTCAAACTCAAATTTTGATATTGTGCGCCTTCCCATGTCATTTATTTTCTTATCATTCTCCATCGTACCCTTCATCTTTCATTTTTCAAGATTAAATCCTATTTAATGCCATATTTTTCATATGAATTTATAAGCTTATTTGTTTTGTAATGCTTAAAAGACTTAGCTAATAGATTAGCTAATTTCCTTAGATACAAGATTTGAACTTATTATAAAAAGTTCTACACTCTTAAAAGTCAAGATATTGATATGCATTCCATCAAAGTTAAAGATATTCAGTTTCTCTCTTTTCAAGAAAGGAATATTTTATGAATTAAATTACTAGATCCTGAGATAAGAATTAATTAAATAAAGTGAAACATAAAATTATGTTTGCAATATTACCGCAGCTTTATTTCTCGGCTCTCTTCTTCATATAAAATTTTTTAAATTTAATATTTTTGCAAGAGCATTTTGTTTGTCTAATTAATAATTTGTACGCATGGCTGTTCCCTGATGTCACATCTGATGGTGTTTATTCCACATTAAAGATTAAACTTGTTTCACACAGTTTTCCATTTTCCGTTCAATTGCCTATAGATATTTAAGCTTCATCACGCCAATTATTGCCCGAAAGAGCGTTTTATTTTTGAACCAATTACCTATACGATCAAAAAAATATTTTCAAAAAAGATCAACGTTCAAAGAAAATTCTACGTAAAATCCCTCGAGATTCAGATATATGGTCAGATTACTGTAAGAAGAAAATGTGAAAATACAACGGACTGATCTATTCATCCCATATAAGACTCCTTTGTAACTCAAGGAACCAGAAGCCAATCACTTTTATTTAGTTTTTGTGTTTTTCTTCGTGTCCACAGTCCAAGCGTTTGGAAAACCGGTCACATTTCTACGATTTTTTTAGAGTTTGTTGGCTTCTGACTCAAAACCAATTTTCAGTGTAAAATGTAGAAATTATTTTTTGGTAGTTAAGCGTAGTCGCAAATGTGTTAGATGTTAAAATTAGTATAGAAATAAATTGATAATTAGTTAAGCTTTTTAGTAACGTAGTGATAATTACATGAGCTACTAATTATAATTAGCGAAAGAGTAAGAAATTTAATTAAAGTTGTATTTACAGCAAAGTCGGTTAAGTTCAGCATAACGGACACTCATTTATCTAATTATTCAAACAATCTAATTGGAATTTTAATATTTTATAAAGTCTATTGTTTTATAACATTCAACAACAATTTATTTAGTTATCAACTTTATAAAAATATCCCCCTTACAACAAACAAAATAAAAAATTAATCAAGTAGAATTCTATTTAAAATGCATTATGTAAAAAGTTCTTTCATGAAATTCAGTATAACCAACCAGCTCCAAACTTCTAAACTTTAAAAACTAAAACAAATATTACTTCTAAAAAGTTGCACCTAGTGGCCAAATGTACAAAGTCGTAAACACTTGAAGTAAGTTTATGAAGTTTTCCTCGATATTTGGAATTTCATCAAAATATTTCTTTTAAATTAATATTTTTAATTTCTTGTTCATAAAAACTTAAAGCAACCTTCAAACTTCAACTTCATAAAATTGCCTAGGAAATTGCTAATAGGTAAGCCCTGGTGCCCTGGTCAATTATTTTGGCATGCAATAGACTAATAAATCACATTTTGCGTCCAAATTTCCAAATTTAAATCTTGGGTATCGACCATTCAATTACAAACTGGTATACTTACTAGAGGGATCATGTATCCACCGTTTCTTCTCGCCTGACCTGGCCGCTTTCGCCTCATCCTGCAAAACAATGCCAGTGTTAAAAAACAGTAATTGGAACATAAATTTGTAACGTTGCAATAAAAACTGACACGTTATCGAAGTGAAAGAAACAACTCCACCGTGGGGACTAGAAAGAAGTTTTAAAAAGCTCTAAGCATCAGGGAGCTTTCGGTGTGTATAAAAGAAGAAAGCACCACTTTAGCTCAGAGGGTATTGTGGATTTCCGTGCGTTGTCCTCTTTATAGGGGTTAACTGTTCGCCAAGAGCTACAGCCATACATTTAAGTATTGATTAAACTTGCAGAAAATGTTATAACAGGTTCGGAAAAATATTCCCGAGAGATGAGAAAATATTACGTTTGGAAGGATGGTCCCAAGTAAATTATTAATCTCTGCTAGGAAAAGTTGGAAAATTTCTGCGACCAAAACCAACGTGAGGAATGTGAAAAAAGATGTTACTTATTTGTCATCGTCTTAGAAACTCGCTAACATCAATCCAGATTAGACAGATCTATTCAGAACTAGTTTATAAATTTTTAACGCAACTTTGAAGGTTATTAAATAAATTAAGAGACTTTAAGGACTATTTTATAGCCAATGTTTAAAAATATGCACACTTTAAGAAAAGGAATGTTCATTAAAGTGCTTCGGCACTTACTTTGAAGAGCGTCTTTATATGAGGGACAAACTACATTTCATACTTTTATGCGCAACCCTCATTACAATCCCAGCAGGATAGAAAGTTATGATCAAAGCAAATACTAGTGTTATGTAAGTAAAACAACAACAGTTTTAATAAACGTAAATGTATGAAAACAGCAATAATAATAACTTAATGCTAAAGATTATGGAAGGATTTATTAAACAAATGCAGTTATCGCAAACCTAAAAGCCTAACATAACTGTTAATTAGTTTATTATTTCAAAAAACAAATCGATAGCCAAATATTTTGCTAAACCCAAATATAAATAAAACAATTAGAGATAGAGCTTTGATATTGATTTCATTTATAATCAATGAAATAAAATTTAATAATTTACAGAAAGTTAATGCACAATTTGCGAATAGATTAAATCACAGTGCAACGATTTTAAACACGTTTCTACTTTATTAAAACGGAAACTAAACTTATTCTTATTACAGATGGATAAGTTGCTACTCGTAGTTTGAATCCGCAAATTTGAAATTAAATTTTAAGAAAGTTTATCGGATTGCCTTTTTTCAAGACAAAGTACTGATATTAAAGTTGCCAAAGAAATAAATAATCTAGATACATTTTGTTGTGTTTAGTTTAGATATTATACATAGGTACCTATACGTATAATACCTATATGTATAACTTTCAGAAACTACACAAAACAAAACTTCCAAGATAGTAATACGATATGCTTTTGTGCTTCAGATGTGAAGACTCGAATTTAATTACTACAGATAATAATGATTGTTTGAATTTTTTATGATTGAAAAAACAATTTCATTTACAAGTTAATTCTCTCGTAACGATTTAATTAAAATTAATTGACACTACACTTCGATAAAAAGACAAGAAAATTAAATAAACTGAGCTGCCGTGTAGAATCTAATTTATTTTTGTAATTTCTTCTGCCCCCAGTAATTGAAACATAAAATCATTAATAAAAATCTCCCTTGTGATTATTGTATTTTTTCCTGTGTGTAGTCACAAGTAATTTTAAAATCCGGTGCGATATCAAAAAGACCCAATGCATAAAATTCTGTTAAAACTGAACGGTGAGCGATATTAAACTTAGTTTATTCGTGTTCTTGGTGACCCAGGTTTGGGAAACGGGGCGAGTCTCTGCATACAAATATCTTCCTTAGCTTTGATGAAAAACATACTTTATATAACTCGTGCACTGAAACAATGTCGTAGGGAAACCCAAAATACTAATTCTAATTCCAAAAGACGTTTAATTTTTTGTGAACAAAAAATTCACGCGCACATAGGTATTTCAAAATGCCCGAATTTTATTCCCAGATTGGGCTTTGCCAGTTACGAACGGTCAAATTCGGAAGCTGGAAAATCATTACGTGCTTTAGGCGTGTATGCCGTGTATGTTCCGTATTACAGATTACAGAAACACGGCTTTCATCCTGTTCAACGAGAATTAGCAAAAAAAGAGCATTTTTCCAATAAACTATAATTAAAAATGGAAAATTGTAATGGGAGAAAAACCCAAGAAAAATCGGCACCTAAAGTCTGTGTTTTTTTCAAAGAAAATCACCAAGTCAAAATTTTGGTGAAAAAATTGGTAGCAGCATAGCCACAAATTTGATTTGCCTTTTGTTTTTGTCCTTAGAAATTTTGTAAAAATATTTTTTTATTATATTATAATTATTATGATTCTTTCATATTGAGATGTAGTCGAAATTTTGACTTTTATAAATTTTGTGACCCTGTCAGAACTTTAATTTTTGACTTTAGTACCAAAATGTCAGAAGCTGTCAAATGTTCAAAACAGCCGGAGATCATGTCGTGTTCTTGATTCACACTACCAGTAAGTAATAAAACAATTGACAATAGTGTCTAAAAACAGAATTCAGTGCTAATAATATTGAAAGAAACACACTGCAAGTAAAACAAAGCTTTTTGCTACAAAAACTTTAATAAAAAAAGCTGTCTACACAGAAAAAAGTTATTTTGCAAAAGATAAAAGCAGGTATTATGAAGATTGCCAATAAATTTTGTGTAATTTATTGAAATGAGGTTGAACTTGATGCATGTTCTAAATTTTTCATTAGCTTTAGTTTCAAAATTGTTACTTTTTCTCAACTCATCAACTCGGTAAAGTGTTCGAAACAAAGAACCTTTACGATATTTTATATCAGTAGTATGTTTTTATGTATACAGATGTTCGTTTAATTTAATGTGTCATTTATAGTTTTTGAATTATTGGTAAAAACGGAAATTTGTAACTTTTGTTTTAATTTTTTCACGCGAAAACTAAAGGATCTAGACGTTTTTAACTAGGGTATTTTTAAAGCACTTTTTTTACTAGAAATCTAAATGTGTTATCGTATTTTCCAAGGCGCTCTTGATATCAAAGTTACAACACTCATCTTTGGATTTTCTTATGGACGCCATATTTGATTTCTGTATTTTTTAAAAGTATTTTTGTTCCTGATTACAACGATGTATCACATAATATGCTGATCAAAATTTTAAAAAAAGTGTTTTTGCGAAGAGTGCTTTGGAAAAAAACACCAACAATTTAGTTAACAAACTAGATTTTGATGGTTCAGTTGACTTTGGATCTGGAAGTCACATTTCCGTAACGCTTACCTTCTTAAAAACTAAGATTTTGAAATAGGAACAACGTGATAAACTAGAATTTATTCTTCGCAAAACAAATCAACAAAAAGTTATAAAAGATGCTCACCTTCAAAATTTAGTTTGTTAATTAAAATTGGTGGCATTTTTTCCAAAGCAGTCTTCGCAAAAACGCTTATTCTTAATTTTGATCAGTATGTAAAATTTGATCATATCGTGTGATACATGGTTGCAATCAAAAACAAAAAGACTTTTCAAAAATACAGAAATCAAATATGGCATCTATAAGAAAATCCCTAGATAGGTGTAGTAACTCTGATATCAAAAGCACCTTGGAAAATACGATGACAGATTTAGATTCCTTGTAAGAAAGTGCCTATCGTGGCCTAGTCCTAGTCCTAGGACTAGTTAAAAATGTATAGGTCTTTTAGTTTTCGTTTGAAAAAATAAAAACGAAAATTACAAATTTCCGTTTTTTTCTAATAATTCAAAAACCAAAAGTGACACATTAAATTTTCTGTCAGATTATTGTTCAGCATAAAAATGCGCAACTTTGCCCTAATTTAACCGACCTCGTATCTCTTATAATAACTGAGATCCCCATGGTGGAGCTCGAAAAACGAACACTCTGTATTAATAAAATTTGGTAAATGATTAGTAAAAGATGTCAACATTAACATATGTATAAAGAAAATCAAAGTCGTATCTTTTATAATTTGTTAAGATATCTGTAGTTAAATTTGACCAAAACAGCACTTTTTTCCAGAGCGCTACCTTAAGAAAAAAGAAAACGAAACTTTGTCAATGTTGTGACGTTCATTTTTAATAAAGAAAGTCCAGGATAATCGGTTTTTTATGTCGAGCTAATTGGAGCAGCTAATAACTTAACAGAAGAAAATTACACGTTATTATCCAGGAAGAAAATGTAAAAACGCGTATAAATGAGCCATGAAGCTTTTTAATGAAAAACCAAGAAAGGACAGAGCAAAACCGTACTAATGGGCGGTTGACATACCGTGTAGCCATAGCAACCATGGTTGCTCATCCTGAAAGGATCGGTGTTCGTAATCATGGTGAAATTTGAGGATTCTCTCGAGAAAAAACCGATCCTCCTTGTATGTGAAGCTATTTAGGAATGAACTTAATGGCGCTACCCTTCACACATTAATCCTAGTGAATTTAATTAGTGCAAAGAGAATCATCCGTCGCAGATGTGATTTAACCAGAACCAAATTTGTCTTTTCTAATGAATCAATTACAGAGGCAATAACCCTATACGTGCCTCTGCATAATCGCGTTATCGTAAAGAGTCCCTGATTTAAGATGCGTCCTTTTATGACGCAAAAGGAGGTAAGTGTCTACGTTAATGTCTGGCGGTATTAAAACCCCAACATCTTGTGTCATGAGTTAATCAGTTCACCTGAGCAAAACGCCCCGAGAACTTTCTATGATCCTGATAGAACACACATACACGCGAAACGATTATCCTGCAAGTTCGACAAACTGGGGCGGAAAGCGATTACCCGATTTACGAGAGGAGGTGGAACTTCTAGACTAACGATGAATTTCAATGATGTAACGAAATTAATCTGCGTTTGTGTTCTAGTCCATCATTTTCATAATTCATGTGTTGATATTGTTGGTTGCATCTATTTACGTCATTACGCCATTACAACGAAAAGCTTCAAGAGTTATCGCCGAGTTTAAATGAAATATTTAAAGTGCGCCC